ACATTTGTTGTATTTCACGTATTATAAAATCACATGGAGTATCACATGATAATGAAACCAGAAAAGTCAGCATTCATGCTGCCCATTAGTACCAGAACCAATAAGCAGAGACAGAGATTGAATCTTTATGGGTGCTTTATTCAGATGGCTCGTGATCTCAGAAGATGGCAGGTTACATTTCCTTTCAAGCCATCCTTTTATAAGGGGGAAAAGTGTAGGGAAGGGATTCGGAATTCAGGAAAGAGGTTAATCAGATAAAAGCTGCAGTCTGGCAGTTTCTCTGCCATCCTTTCGTCTGTTAACTGGGGATTTTCTGTCTGTGTCCTGGGTGATTTTCTTTGGCGGTGGGATGTTTCTCTCTGGAACACAATGGCTCGGATACCATCTTGATTGCTTATGGTCTCTTCTGGGACACAAAGGTTGAAGTGCTTATGGTCTCCTGGAGTCAAGGTAGGTCGTACCTTCAGTTCCTGAAACAGTAGCTTTTTACATGCATTCACTACTAATGCTTATTAACTATTACCTAAAACTAAAATTTTCCAACTCCCACATCAATAAAAGCATCTAAGCTCATTTAGTTGCAAGTGTCAGGAAGCCTTGGTAATGAGCGTGCCCTGGTGACGGGAGGAAGTGGGATTTGGAGAAGACAGACGAAGACAGGAAGTCTTCAGGACAGGCTCAGTTTTGGATTCGGATGTGTCTGATCCCCCTGGTGGACATGCTCATCAGTTAAGTCTTCCGCTGTTGATGTTCCTGCAGCCTGGCCCCATTCATAACACCCTTTCCTCAAGCTCCTGCAGAAGTTAGGCTCTTACTCTACTTGCGGCCGGCAAAATCCTGGTGGGTCCCCTTTTAGGGTCAGGGCCAGGGCCACCCTGTATGCCCTGGCTGCGTGGTTAGGCGCTGGAGAAGTGATTGGTGGCCAGGATCCCAGCAGGGCGTTACGCTGGGCGGTGGGGGCCGGGTGGAGGCTGCCTTTGCAGAGGCCGTCTTCTCCAGGAGAAGCCCTTTCAGGGGCTGCAAGCACTTCTCCTCTCTCACCACCCCTGGGGCTTGGAGTAGGAAAGAGGGAAGCATAGAGCCTGTTCTAATGGAAAGACTGTGGGCTCTGTGGTCCATCTAGTCCCAGCCATGCCACTAGCCCTATGATGTGGTTCTTAACACAGAGGAGGTAGAAGTGGTAGCAACTAACAGTACAAGCTTGGAAGAATAATGATTTATAGGAGCCCCTAGGGCTTTAGCACTTAGCAGGAGCTCTGGATCAGAAAGCTCTTTGAGCCTTTATCATTCTCCTGGTGCCTGCTTGACACTGGAGAGAAGCTACAGGGTGTGCCCCTGAGGAGCTCTGAGTGCTGCAGGAGATGCAGGCTTGTAAATAGATCGTTGTGATGCAGCATGGTAAGTGCCTTAATGGAAACCTGTCCAGAACTTGCCTCTCTCCTAGGAGAGAGCCTCTGGCCGTGGAGGTGATAGGGGAGAAGTGCAAGAATGCTGGAGGTGGAGCTGGGGTGGGGATGCTCAGTGCCTCCTGCTGCCGGTGCTGCAGGAGCCGGAAGCCTCAAGCTGGGCTGCAGTGGGCATTTTCCACAGTCGGCCTAGAATGTGCTTTGTCCCTGGTGGTGCCTCAAAATACCTGGTCTAGGAGGCAAAACGCTTTTAAAAAATATTTATTTTTTTTACAGAGAGGGGAAGGGAGAAAGAGAGGGAGAGAAACATTGATCGGTCGCCTCTTGCACACCCCCAGCTGGGGACTGGCCAGCAACCTAGGCATGTGCCCCCGCTGGGAAAGGAACCAGTGACCTTTCGGTCCATGGGACAGTGCCCAACCCACTGAGCCAAACCAGTCAGGGCAGGCGCAAAATACTTTTACCAAGTGATAGAAATTGCCAGTCCCTCCTTCATAATTTTGTTTCCAGTGCAAAGTTAGAAGCCATAAAACTGGGAAGGAAGCCTCTATTAATTATTGGGTTGGCCAAAGAGTTTGTTTGTCCCCCCCCCCCCCCCCGCCGGTAAGATGCCTCTAGTAGCTCTCAGTTGTCTTTAACAAAAGAAACAATTTTGTTAGATTGTATTGTGTTGTGACAGCTGTAATGTCCGTGTGCATTTAAAATAAAAAGCTTACCAAAATTAGTGAATTTTTATGTAACCATTTTAATTTTGAGGATAGAAGAAAGTAACATTTTTGACATACTATACCTTACTATTTCAAGAAAGACTTCTGGCCAAGATGGAGGCATAGGTAGATACACTTTGCCTCCTCACACATCCAAAAGAAGGACAACAATAAATTTAAAAACAAGACACAGCCCTGGCTGGTGTGGCTCAGGAGATTGAACTCTGGCCTGCCAACCAAAGGGTCCCCGGTTCCATTCCAAGTCAGGGCACATGCCTGGGTTTCAGTCCAGGTCCCCAGTTGGGGGTGCTCGAGAGGCAATCACACATTGATATTTCTCTCCCACTCTTTATCTCTCTATTCCCTTCTCTAAAAATAAATAAATAAATAAAATCTTAAAAAAGAAGAACGGTCTGGAAATCAAACTGCATGGAAGTCCAACAGCCAAGGAGTTACAGAAGAAACATTCATCCAGACTGGTAGGAGGGGCAGAGATGGGCAGCTGGGAGGGGGACCCGGAGGGTGAGGTGGCAGCTGGCAGACAACACATTCGTGTCCCACGGGGGTCCCACATTCGTGTGTGGAACAGCTGGGGAGTGAGACAGGCCTTGCAACACAGGGTTCCAGCAGACGGGAAAGAAAGCCTCAAGTCCACTGGCTGTAAGAACCTATGGGGGTCGCGGTGGTGAGAGAAACTCCCAGTCTCCCAAGAGAGTCCACTGGAGAGACCCACAGGGTCCTAGAACGTACACAAGCTCACGCACCTGGCGTCGGCACCAGCAGGGCCCAGTTTGCTTGTGGGAAGCGGGGGGAGTGACTGAAAGCTGGTCCAGAGCCCAGCAGGCAGCACTGTTTCCTCTGGGACCCCTCCCCCACACACAGTGCCACAACCCAGCCACCTGGGTTGCCCTGCCCCTTACAACCTAACAGGCCAGCCCAGGCAAAGAAATTTGGCCCAAATGAAAGGACAGATCAAAGCTCCAAAAATACAACTAAGGGATGAGGAGATCGCCAACCTGTCAGATGCAGAGTTCAAATCACTCTAATCAGGATGCTCACGGAAATGACTGAGTGTGTTCGCAGAAAGAGAGGAAGAAGTGGAGGCTATGCAAAGTGAAATAAAGGAAAATGCACAGGGAACCAACAGTGACGGGAAGGAAACCGGGACTCAAATCAATGATTTGGAGCACAAGGAAGAAATAAACATTCGACCAGAACAGAGTGAAGAAAGAATTCAAAAAAATGAGGAGAGGCTTAGGGACCTCTGGGACAACTTGAAACATTCCAATGTCTAAATCATCGGGGTACCAGAAGGAGGAGGAGGAGAAGAGCAAGACATTGAAAACTTATTTGAACAAATAATGAAGGAGAACTTCCCTGGCCAGGCAAAGGAAATAGACTCCCAGGAAGTCCAGGAAGCTCAGACAGTCCCAAAGAAGTTGGACCCAAGGAGGACCACCCAAGACACATCATAATTACATTACCCAAGATGAAAGATAAGGAGAGAATCTTAAAAGCAGCAAGAGAGAAGGGGACAGTTACCTGCAAAGGCGTTCCCGTAAGACTCTCAGCTGATTTCTCAAAAGAAACTTTGCAGGCAAGAAGAGGCTGGAAAGAAGTACTCAAAGTCCTGAAAGGCGAGGACCTACATCCAAGATGACTCTATCCAGCAAAGCTATCATTTAGAATGAAGAGCAGATAAAGTGCTTCCCAGGTAAGGTCAAGTTAAAGGAGTTCATCATCACCAAGCCTTTATTACATAAAATGTTAAAGGGACTTATCCAAGGAAAAGAAGAAAACCAAAACTATGAGCAGTAAAATGACAACAAACTCACAACGATCAACACCTGAACCTAAAAACAAAAACAACGAACTAAGCAAACAACTAGAACAGGCACAGAATCATAGACATGGAGATCACATGGAGTGTTACCAGCAGGGGAGGGGCAGGAGGAAGAATGGGGGGAGGTACAGGGAATAAGAAGCATAAATGGTAGGTACAAAATAGACAGGGGAAGGTTAATAATAGTATAGGAAGCCCTGGCTGGTGTGGCTCTGTGGATTGAACACCAGCTTGTGAACCATAGGGTTGCTGGTTCGATTCTCAGTCAGGTCACATGCCTGGGTTGCAGGCCAGGTCCCTAGTAAGGTCCCCTGAGGAGCAACCACACATTGATGTTTCTTTCCCTTTCTTCTTCCCTTTCCCTCTGTCTAAAATAAATAAATAAAACAGTAAAAAAAAAATAGTATGGGAAATGGAGAAGCCAAAGAACTTTATGAATGACCCATGGACATGAACTAAGGGTGGGGGGTAATGCTGGTGGGAGGGGAGGTGCAGGGCAGTGGAGAATGAAGGGGGAGGAAAAAAATGGGACAACTGTAATAGCATAATCAATAAAATATACTTAAAAAATAAAACCACCTGTCTGAGGAAAAAATACAAATGAAATCTTTTTAAAAAAGAAAGATAATTCAACTGAAATGCCTAAAAAGATTTGTGCAGCATGTGGAGAAGGCGCTGTGACTGATCAGATGTGTGAAGAGTGGTTTGAGGAGTTTCGTGCTGGAGATTTCTTGCTGGGTGATGCACCACAATCGGGTTGTTCAGCTGGAGTTGATGGTGATCAAATCATGATGTTAATTGAGAACAATCAGTGTTATTCTACGTGGAAATAACTGACCTACTCAAAATATCTAAATTAATTTATTGGTGAAAATGAAAAATGTATATTTTATTTTATAGAAGAAAACCACACGAACCTTTTGGCCAACCCAGTACTTGTTTCCTCAGACAGGGAGCAGCTTTCTGGTTTCTCCAGCCTCCTCTGTTCTCAGTATCATTGCTGTCGACATCCAGACCCCTTCATATTGCCCTTTTTGCTTGTAGGCTCAGTGTCAGGCCAGGAGCTGGAGGCGTCCGGTCTCACGTCGGGGTCCAGCAGAGCTTTCTCGGCCAGCCAGCGCGCACGGCCGCCTTCCAGCAGAGGTTTGACGCTCGGCAGAAGATCGGCCTTTCGGATGCCCGGCTCAAGCTGGGCGTCAAAGATGCCCGGGAAAAGCTCTTGCAGAAAGACGCCCGTTTCCGGATCAAAGGGAAAGTGCAGGACGCCAGAGAGATGCTGAACTCCCGCAAGCAGCAGGGCACGGTGCCCCCGAAGCCCCACCAGGTGGCTGATGCCCGGGAGAAGCTCAGCTTGAAGCGGAGTGCCCCTGCTGCCTTCATGAGCCCCCCCGTCGGGACAGTGACCCCGGCTCTGAAGCTCACGAAAACCATCCAGGTGTGTGTGGCTCCTGTCATGAGTTCCTGGAAGCCAGTGATAACTAGGTTCTGGCAGGGAGCGGGGGTCGGGAGTATTTGGGCGAAGTGACAGCGCCCCCAAGTCTTTGTATAGTAACCATATGAGGAAGGCCAGGTACTAACCCAGTTTTATATAAAAGAGGGGGCGTCCAGAGCAACGAAGTGACATTCTCAAGTGAGGTTGTTGGGGAGGGAAGAGAAAGGAAAGAACAAAACATTTGTTGAGCATGTGCTAGGTAGCAGGCCCTTAACACAGATGACCTTATGTATTCCTCACTGCCCCCAGGGTTATTATCCCAGTTTTATTAAAGAGCCTCGGCCTCAGAGATGTGAATTACTATGGCCAGAGTTACACAGCTAGTCGTTGGGAGGACCTGCCTCCTCATCCTTTGCCCTGGCCGCCTGCTCAGCCACCACCCCAAAGGGAATGGAGACAATATCAACACCGTTTAATCTTCACAGCAGCATTGGTAACAGGAGTAGTAGCCAGGAAGGCTTATTGAGCCAGGTTCATTGAGCCCTACGCATGCATAATCACGTGGTCTCTGAGACGACAGATCTTCCTGTCACTCCCCTACTTGGGTATGAGGCACTCTGCAGGGCCTTTTACCAAAGACCCAAACCGAGTGTCCCTTGTATTTCAAGTTCAGTGATCATGCACATGGATCCTGAGGGATGAATTATGACCAGTGGGTGTTTCTAGGTTCCACAGCAGAAGGCCGTGACCCCACCCCATGCCCATTCTGCTGGAATGAGGATTAATGTCGTCAATCACCACCAGTCCAAACAGGTAGGATGTGAGTGTGTGTCCTGTGTGCAGACGTGTGCGCAGGCATGCGTAATCTTTTAAAAAAGGAGTTTCATAACTGAAGAGGGGCAGAGAGGCAAACTGAAAACATATACTGCATTTTTCGGACTGTAAGATGCGCCTCCCAAGTTTGGGGAAGGGGGGGGGGCGCGTCTTATAGTCCAAATGTACCTTTACATTTACATTGGGGAAATATTATTTATGTTGTTTATTCTTCTATTTTACCACATTTTTTTGCTTCGAAGGTTTTTTTCCCTATTTTCCTCCAAAACCTAGGTGCATCTTATGGTCCAAAAAATATGGTATATTTTTCATTAATATGTGCTTAATACAAAAAATTACAAAATAGAAAAAAATTTAGGAGAAGGTTCTTGTGCTCCTGCTCTCCAAAGCCAACTGTTGTTGAAATTCTGCCCTGGCTCCTTCTTGGTCTTTAAATGCTGTTATTAGTTAATTGACATGTAGTTGTCAATTATAGTTGTGATTATATTCTTAATTCCATTTTGTGTCATTCTTTTTTCACTTTAACACTCAAGCATTTGTCTGTGATTCACACTTACTGTGAACAGCATTTGTATAACTGCATAATCCACTGAGTTGACGTTCAGTTGATTTGTACCATTTTACTGTATTTTTCACTGTTACAAGTTCTCTGAACATCTTTGTGGATAGTGCCCTTTCTAGGGTTTGGGCTTATTTCTGTAGATCCAATTGCCTGGGGTGGGCTTCCCAAGCCAAAGGATATAAATAGACATCTTGGGGACTCGTCCCAGCCATTGTCCACATGTTAGAAAGATGCTCCGATGTACCTGGGAGCTGCAGCCCTTCCATCAGGCCCTCGTGGGTGGGGAGCCGCCCGTCAGGGCCTGAGCCCAGCCTCCTGAGGCAGCCTGCACCTGCCCCTCCGCCTCAGTCACTCCAGCGGGCTCTCCCTGCTGTCCTTGCTCCAAACCTTGGTTGACAGCCCGTGTGCCCCAGTAGCTTGCGTTTCTTTATTTTCAGAATGTATATGACCTGGATGAAGACGATGACCTTGCAGCTCCCATTCCGAGTAAGATGAAATTTGCCGTCTCGGGCAGCTTTCTCCACCACATGGTAGGGCACTTTACGTTTTTCACGTACTCGCTGTGTGTGTCTGATCGGGTGGATGGTAGATGTGGTGGGAAGCAGGCTTTTCAGCTCGGTAATATTTCTTCATTTGGGCCTTAAGATTTTCAGCATGAACTAGTTCAACCCCTCATTTTATAAATCCTGAGACCAGGGGTCTAGTGATTTAAGATCCCATGACTAGTGAGGTTTGAGACCCTTTGGGAGAATGTTAGTGACCCCACAGGGGGTCTTTTATTTCTGGCAGAACATGCTGTGTGTTCCCTTTCCTCCATGGTCAGCAGCTCTGACCCCATTCTTAAATCTGGATTCCCTCGGTTAGTGTGGTAGCAGAATACCTGAGCCTTCCCGGTGGGTTCTGCCCGGTGCAGCCTGCCCGCAAGGAAAGCTTGATAGACTAGGGTGCTGGTCAGACACCGTGCAGGGGAGGAGAGTGCACCATCGGGGACACGAGGGAGGTCTGTGCAGCTCAGCTCAGTGGTTGTAGCCAAATGACAGGCAGGGAGGCCAGGGGGCGTCCAAACCAGGTTCCTTTGTTTTGGTGTCGGGCCCAGAGACTCAGTTTTGGTCACTGCACTGAATGTGTGGACCCATTTCCTGGGTATCAGTGAACCTGTGTAAGGGGTGTGTGAAGGTGAATATGCCCGTGTCTTACAGAGGGGCTGGCTTTCCAGTAATTAGACTGCTGGGCCTGCAGTGGAGGGACCTGGCTCAGTAACTAACTCTAACTGAGATCCCTAAAATGCTGTGTTTCTCTTAACTCACTTAAGACTCCCCCACCCTCCCCTGCTGTGAGATAGGTGCCATTATTGCCCCTGTGTTACTGATGAGGAGTCAGGCACAACCAGGTTGAATAAACCTGCTCATTGTCACCCAGCTTGTAAGGGGTGAGTCTAGGAATTCGGGCATGAACAGTTTTGCTCCTGGGCTGAGTGTGAGCACCGTGCTGCACTGGCTCTCGAAACCGAGAAAGCGGCTTGAGGACAGTGGGGCCCAGCTGGGGAGCACGGTTCCCCTGCAGCCGGAGAAGCTGGCGGACCGACCCTGTGCCGTAGTCTTCTTAGCCGCTGCGCCCCTCTTCCCTCCCCGAGTCCGTGCCTGCTGGACGCCACCCTCAGCCAGCAAGACCACCTGCCACTGCTGCCCATGCCCCTTCTCCCTCGGACACATTAATACCAGGGACTTGACTGCTTTCTGTTCCCGAGGGAACACACCCCCGATTAGGGCTTTCGGGGGAGGGAGGGAACTGTGTCTGCCGGTCTCCGTGTGCAGACTTCGCCAGTGTGTCTTTGACCGTGTGGAGGCTGCTAGGGCCCGGCCAGTGTGCGGTGCCTCTGTATGGCCAGACAAGGACCAGGAAGCTGGGACTCATGCCTGGAGCTGATGATCAGTCCATTGTGATAGAAGCACATGTGGGAACACACTTGACCCCAAGCTTTGGCCTTCTCACCAGCCCCAAATTGTTGGGCTTTTATAAAGGCTAACCGGTATGAGTGAGCCCGTGGATCCTGGGGAGGGCTGCATGGAAGCTCTTTGCCGAGGGCTTCTGCACTGGAAAGGGGCTCTGTGGGCATGTGTGCAGGCTGTGTTTCCCCCTCCCGCCCCTCCCCGTGCGATGTCACCGGCAGCCCTCTGGCTGTAGGCCACTGGCAGAATTGGGAAACGGGGAGGTTGCCAGCCTCTCAGGCTGCTGTCTGCCTCTTCGTTTAGGCCGGGCTGAGCAGTTCCAAGCTTTCCATATCCAAGGCCCCCCCCCTTACCAAAGTGGTTCAGAACGATGCCTACACAGCGCCTGCTCCCCCTTCTTCGGTGCGAACAAGAGCCTTGACCAGCATGTCCCGGACACTAGTGAACAAGGAGGACCCCCCCAAAGAGCTGCCGCCCGCTGAGGTGAGGTGCAGGTGAAGGAGAGGAGGGGCCCACAGCAGCGGGTGGCCCGTGCTGGGTGGGCAGTGCGCTCTGTTTACCCTGCTGTGCTCGCAGCGCCTCTCCGAGGTGGGCACTGCCGCCCCCTTACAAATGAGCAAAACAGGCTCAGCGGCCCCTGCACGCACACAGCTTGCCGGCCAGTGGGGAAAACGGAGGCTTGGACAGAGCACTGTGTCTTGTGACACAGCAGTTGTGCCCAGAGGAGAGCTACTGGGAACACTGAGGACAGAGCAGCTAGCTCCACTGGGCACATCCGGGAAGGCGTTAGGGAGAGGATCCTGTCTGGGCTGGGTGGGCCTTGAAGTGGGGTGGCATTCCAGGCCGAGAGGCTCAGAGGCCTGAAAGGTGGCCCAGAACATTTGAGAACCGAGAGGCTCTGTCCCTTTGCACTGGGGTGTGGGGACGTGCTGGGTGCCGGGGCCTCCAGTGGGCGGTGGGCCCTCCGGGTCACGGGCCAGGCTGAGGTCTGCGGTTGGAGCGCACAGCTTTGCTCTGCCTTCCGGTAACACGCTTGTCTGCGGCAGCCTGTCCTCAGCCCTTTGGAAGGCACCAAGATGACTGTGAACAACCTGCACCCTAGAGTCACCGAGGAGGACATTGTCGTGAGTATTTTGCCCTGCCAGAATTTGACTTCTGTGTCAGGCATCCCCAAGACCTCCCCCAGGTTCCCTGATTCTGACAGGACTCGTCAGCGCAGAGTCGTAGCGGGACTAAGATTTAGTGTAGGATGCAAAGCAACCTCAGCGAAGGGAAAGGGCTCACGGGCCAGGCCGGGGACACTAGGCACAAACCTCTGGAGTCCTGTCCCAGCGGGGTCACACGGGGTGCACTTCGTTCCCCCAGCAGTGGGTCGTGGTGATGTGTGTGTGTCAGAGAAGCTCCTGGGAGACTCTGCGCCCGGGGTTTCCGTCGGGGACTGGTCGGGCAGGCGCCCTCTGCCAAAACCCCAGACTCCCAGGGGGAAAGCAGGCGTTCCACACGGACCCCAGTCAGGCCCCGTGGGCCGCTCTGGTCGGTCAGGGCGGTGGGAGCCCTCCCAGAGCCCCAGTCCCCAGGGGCCAGCCAGGGGCCAGCCTTGGAGGCAGGCCTCTCGGAGGGTCGCAGTCGTACGGGGCTGTGTTAGTGCTTCACGCCACTTCTGCCCCGGGGCCGGGGCTCATGCTGGGGTGTGTCCTGGGCGGGCTCCTTTGGTCCTGTGGTACAGCAGCCAGTGGCTCCTATTCTCCTGAGTCTTCAGAACTTTCGCCGCCTCCAGGGATTTCACATGATGATTCCAGAGGAAAGAAGTGAGATGGGCTGGTGTTACCTGGTGGTTGACCCCTCTGGCTTGCCCTCCTGCCCATCCTGTCCCACCCTTGGCAGTCACGAGCAGAACCCAGTTCAGGTGCCTGGTGAGCAGGGGCCTAGATCCAGCCAGGACTTCTTTTCAACCCCGTTTTCATTCAGGCACCCAAAGAAGCTGTTAGTTTAGAAATCCAGGTACCCTTTTAACTCTGAACTGTCAGATGGCAAAAAGAGTGCAACTGAAGACTTCAGCTTCTCCCTGCAGCCGAACCCCAGGGTCGGGAACAGCCCATACTGGCCCCTGTGTTTGTTAATGGTTTTACGGAGCGCACAGATGCTGTGTGGTTGCTTTTAGAACTCAGCAGGCTCTCCTGTGAGCAGGCACATGAGATTGGAAATGGTAGCCAGTTTTGTGTAATGCTTGATAGGTGATAAAGAGCTAAGCAATTTTTTCCTGATTGTAAAAGTAATAATAGCTGCCATCTATTGAGTACGTACTGTGTACCAGGCACTTTGTATGCAGGGTCTTTGAAAGTGCAGAACAGTGGAAAAACCACTTGCCTCTCATCACTCAGTGAAAACTGCCAATGGTAGTCACCCTCACTTCTCTTCTGCCCACACAGGTCCCGCTGAAAGAAAGGCAGTAATAACATTGGGATCATATCTAGTGTTCAGTTCCATATGTTGATTTTGATATTTGATATTCTCTCCTTTATTATCAAAGACAAATTGAGCCTCTGTCCTCCTAACAGCCTTGCGAAGGGCGGTTGCAGTGAAGAAGTGGCTCGGGCGTTAGCCAGCCCCTGGGGTCTGTCTGCACATCGGGTTCCCTCTCTGGCCTCCGGCTCCTGGGCTGTGAAGTGAAGAGGGGTTCGAGGAAAGAGGAGGACAATGTGTTTACAAAGCACTCCCTTGACAGTGGTCTCAGTTCAGCTTTATAGCAGCCTGGAAGGTAGGCTAGACCGTCCTCTCCAGGAGAGAGAACGTCGTCGCAGAAGCGAAGAACGTGCCGGAGCCGCAGGCCGCACGGCCGAGGAGAGGCAGGGCCCCGGAGGTCAGACCCGGCTCAGCCTGCCTGAGCGTGCCCGGCAGGCCTGGTTTCCCTGTCTCCTGGCTGGCACTGCAAGCCCTCTGTCCCAGGACGTCCTCAAGCTGGACAGTCGATCCCTCTGTGTAGGACTGCAAAACTCATTTCCAGCAGATTGCTGTGCATCGTACCGGCCACTGCCTTTGATAAGCCTCCACACCCAGTCTCATGACGGAGTCCTCCGAGAGACGCGCCGTGACTGTTAGCCCGTGGAGGAAGGCAGTGGGCACTGGGGTGGGAGGACTCGGGGGTGACTTACTGAAGGTCACAGGGACGCCACGACGTGTCAGCTCAGGCCCATTTCTCGCCGCCAGCATAGTTTCTCCCCTCTTCTGGTCCGTGCTGAGGCCTGTGGGTGTCCCAGGAAGACCACCTAAAGGGAAGCCTCCCCGGAATCCTGGGCGCTGGGTGTGTTTGGTGTGGTGTGGACACCAGTCAACTCAGAGCCCCGGAATGTACGGCGGGGACGCGGGCAGGATGCCAGCCCGGCATTCTCCCCCAACCTAACTTCTTTGCTCTTTGCAGGAGCTTTTCTGTGTCTGCGGCGCCCTGAAGCGGGCTCGGCTCGTCCACCCCGGGGTAGCGGAGGTGGTCTTCGTAAAGAAGGATGACGCCATCACTGCGTATAAGAAATACAACAACCGGTGTCTGGACGGTAAGTCTGGGAGCGGGCGGCTGCCTCACCTTCCCACTCCTCATTGCTGACTGTCAGGCGGCAGCCTTCCGAACAGGCCCTCCTTTGAGGTGGGTGGGAGGGCGTCCGGGTGCAGTTGCCCCGCTGGGGCCTCCTGCGCACCAAGGTCGGGCAGGGAGGCGCAGTCTCCGGGTGGTGCTGAGCTGCCGCCGCCTGCCCCACGGGATGCTCAGTCGGCCCAGGCACTGGAGCCGGCCGGCAGGGAAGCACCGTTTCTCTGTGGACGGTTCTCTTACTGAGCCTTGGCAAGCACACCAAGTGCCACAGCCTCCCCCTTCCACGTACTGGCTTGCTCACTGCGAGGGCACGGGCTCCTTAACGGCCTAGAGCCTCAGCTGGATGTTGGCGCCTGGGCGCGCTGTGCATGGTGAGTGAATTTAATGAGTCCAGACTCCGTTACTCGCCTCCGGAGCCCATACAGGGGAGCCCTGTGTGCCCTGCTCCGTCTGTCCATCGCTGGTTCTTTCGGTGTCTGCTGGGTGCCTGCTGTGGGGCAAGGCCCTGCGGTAGCGATGGGGGGACAGGAACTGATACGACACAGAGGGCTTGGCTTTGCACCTCCCTGATGGCTAATGCTGTTGAGCATTGTTTCATGTGCTTTTTGACCATTTGTGTATCTACTACATTTTTCCTTTCTTTTAGAGAATAAGGGTTTTTAAAAATACATATTTTATTGATTATGCTATTACAGTTGTCCCATTTTTTTTTCCTCCCTTTCATTCCCTTCTGCCCAGCACTCCCCTCACCAGCACTACCCTACCCCCCCTTAGTTCATTTATGTCCACGGGTCATTCATGTAAGTTTTTTGGCTTCTCCATTTCTGATACTAGTCTTAAACTCCACCTGTCTGTTGCATACCTACCATTTATGCTTCTTACTCCCTGTACCTCCCCCCATTCTTCCTCCTGCCCCTCCCCTGCTGGTAACACTCCATGTGATCTCCATGTCTGTGATTCTGTGCCTGTTCTAGTTGTTTGCTTAGTTCGTTGTTTTTGTTTTTAGGTTCAGGTGTTGATCGTTGTGAGTTTGTTGTCATTTTACTGCTCATAGTTTTGGTTTTCTTCTTTTCCTTGGATAAGTCCCTTTAACATTTCATGTAATAAAGGCTTGGTGATGATGAACTCCTTTAACTTGACCTTACCTGGGAAGCACTTTATCTGCTCTTCATTCTAAATGATAGCTTTGCTGGATAGAGTCATCTTGGATGTAGGTCCTCGCCTTTCAGGACTTTGAGTACTTCTTTCCAGCCTCTTCTTGCCTGCAAAGTTTCTTTTGAGAAATCAGCTGAGAGTCTTACAGGGAACGCCTTTGCAGGTAACTGTCCCCTTCTCTCTTGCTGCTTTTAAGATTCTCTCCTTATCTTTCATCTTGGGTAATGTAATTATGATGTGTCTTGGGTGGTCCTCCTTGGGTCCAACTTCTTTGGGACTGTCTGAGCTTCCTGGACTTCCTGGGAGTCTATTTCCTTTGCCTGGCCAGGGAAGTTCTCCTTCATTATTTGTTCAAAGTAAGTTTTCAATGTCTTGCTCTTCTCCTCCTCCTCCTTCTGGTACCCCCGATGATTTAGACATTGGAATGTTTCAAGTTGTCCCAGAGGTCCCTAAGCCTCTCCTCATTTTTTTGAATTCTTTCTTCACTCTGTTCTGGTTGAATGTTTATTTCTTCCTTGTGCTCCAAATCATTGATTTGAGTCCCGGTTTCCTTCCCGTCACTGTTGGTTCCCTGTGCATTTTCCTTTATTTCACTTTGCATAGCCTCCACTTCTTCCTCTCTTTTGCGAACACACTCAGTCATTTCCGTGAGCATCCTGATTAGAGTGATTTGAACTCTGCATCTGAGAGAGGTTGGCGATCTCCTCATCCCTTAGTTGTATTTTTGGAGCTTTGATCTGTCCTTTCATTTGGGCCAAATTTCTTTGCCTGGGCTGGCCTGTTAGGTTGTAAGGGGCAGGGCAACCCAGGTGGCTGGGTTGTGGCACTGTGTGTGGGGGAGGGGTCCCAGAGGTCTCCAGTGGACTCTCCTGGGAGACGGAGTTTCTCTCACCACTGCGACCCCCATAGGTTCTTACAGCCAGTGGATTTAAGGCTTTTTTTTTCCCATCTGCTGAAACCCTGTGTTGCAAGGCCTGTCTCACTCCCCAGCTGTTCCACACATGAATGTGGGACCCCCGTGGGACACGAATGTGTTGTCTGCCAGCTGCCACCTCACCCTCCGGGTCCCCCTCCCAGCTGCCCATCTCTGCCCCTCCTACCAGTCTGGATGAATGTTTCTTCTGTAACTCCTTGGCTGTTGGACTTCCATGCAGTTTGATTTTCCGGCAGTTCTGGTTGTTGTTGTTGGTTTTGTTTTTTTTTTTTTTTTAAGATTTTATTTATTATTTATTTTTAGAGAGGGAAGAGAGGTAGAGAGTGGGGGGGGCGGAGAAACATCAATGTGTGGTTGCTGGGGGTCATGGCCTGCAACCCAGGCATGTGCCCTGACTGGGAATCGAACCTGCGACACTTTGGTTCGCAGCCCGAGCTCAATCCACTGAGCTACGCCAGCCAGGGCTGCTTTTTTTTCTTTTTTTTTTTTTTTTTTAATTGTCCTTCCTTTGGTTGTGCAAGGAGACAGAGTATCTACCTATGCTTCCACCTTGGTCAGAAGTAGCTATTTATTTATTTTTAAAGAAAGAGGAAAGGAGGGAATAAGAGAGAAACATCAATGTGCAAGAGAGAAAACATCAGTTGGTTGTCTCTCGCATGCCCCAAACTGGGGACCTGGCCCGCAACCTTGGCATGTGCCCTGACTGGGAATCGAACCAGCGACCTTTTGGTTTGCAGGCTAGTGCTCAGTCCACTGAGCCACACCAGCCAAGGCATTTGTGTGTCTTCTTTAGAGAAATGTCTATTCAGAATCTTTGCTCACTTTTTAAAACATTCTTGTTTTTATTATTATTATTTTGTGTTATTGATTCCGGAGAGAGGGGAAGGTAGGGAGAAAGGGAGTGAGAAAAATATTGATGTGAGAGAGAAACATAAGTCAGTTGCCTCCTACACATCCCCAACTGGGGGCTGCACCTGCAACCAGGGCACGTGCCCTGCCTGGGACTAGAACCTGTGGTCTTTTGGTTTGTGGATGACATTCGGCAAACTGAGCCACACTGGCCAGGGCTCTTTGCTCACTTCTTTAGTGGTCTTTTTTTCTTGAGTTATAGGAATTTTTTATATATTCTTTTTTAAAAGAACTTATTGATTGATTTCAGAGAGGAGAAGTCAGTGGGGGGGGGCATTAATCTGCTGTTCCACTTACATTTGCATTCATTGGATGATTCTTGTATGTGAACTAACCTAGGACCGGATCCACAGCCTTGGCATATCGGGAGTTCTTCATATAGTCTTCACGTGAGTCTCCTGGATAAACGGTTTGTCAGGATGTCCTCCGGTGATGCAGTTTGTCTCTTCACGCCTCTTCTCAAAGTATGCATTTAGGGCGATGTGTTTCCCTCCCTCCGCGCGCTGCGTCAGCCACGTCCCATAAACCTGATACGCTGTGTCTTTATGTTCATTCATTTCAAAGTATTTTCAGATTTCTTTTGTGATTGTTTTTCTTCGAGTCATTGGTTATTTAGGACTATTTTGTTTTATTTCCACGTGTTTGTGAATTTCCCAGATTTTCTTCTGAGCATTTGGGACAATATATATTTTGCTCCTGTTGGGTAGATGTCTGTTGGGTCTAGTTGGTTTATAATGTTCAAGTCTTCTGTTTCTTTGCTGCTCTCCTGCCCGGTGGTTCTGCCCATTACTAAACACGGCGCGCTGGAACCTCAACTCGCGCACGTTTGCTCCTCCTCTCACTTCTGCTAGCTTTTGCTTCGCGTGTTTGAGGTCATTATTAGTTGTGTGTCTGTTTATAATTGTTCCAGTTGTTTTCTTCCTGATGGATTCACCCTTTTATCAGTTATAAAATGTCCCTCTCTATCTCTTAGGAACATTTTTGGTTTTAAACTGTATTTTATTTTGTATTAATGTAGCACTTCAGGTTTCCTTAGGGCTGCTATTAGGGTGCTATATCTTCCTTTACTTTCAACCTTTTTGTGTTTTTTGAATCCGAAGTGTATCTTCTATAGATAGAATATATCAGAATCTATTTCAGATTAACCCTAACTTAGTTCCAGTGAGAGATAGGAATGTTACTTCTTTATGGTTCTATTCCCTCTTTTTGTGCTGCTGTTTCATTTGGGAAGGTTTGTTTGTTTGTTTGTTTGTTTGTTTTAAGAGAGTAAAGTTTTTATTCACTCTCCAAGAAAGGAGAGGGGCATGGTGTGGAGAGATACACCAGCATTGAGGGGTTGGAGCTCTGAGCTTTTACTGGATTAGAATTTGGCCTAAAAAGCGTGGGGGGTGTTCTGGTGTGGCCCCCGGGCTGTTGGGGTGTTGGGACAGGAGGCTGCAGTTGGGTCCAGTGTTGTTTTCTGCCTGTGGCTGTAGGGAGAGGAAAGTCCTGCTCTTGTTTCCAGTAGCTCCCAGTCCGATCGCGGCCGTGACGACGGGGGAGGAGGAGGCTGTCCGCAGAGTCTGGGGAGACCGGGGAGGGCTGGGGTCCTCTCTCCGGGCCTCACAGGGACAGGCGGGCCTTGGGGGTCGGACTGGCTGAGCTTCCGCAGCCCGCTGCTCCCCCGGTCCAAGTCTCAGGAGGACAGAGCAGAGGGAGAAATAGAGAGTGCCCTTTTGTGGGCCCCCGGAGTGTTAGGGTGGGTGGTGAAGAGGGCTTGAAAGGGTTCACAAAGAGAAGAAAGCACAGAGAGTAAAGGTTTATTCACTCTCCAAGAAAGGAGAAGGACCTGATGTGGAGAGATATACCAGCCTGTTGGGTTTTTTTTCAATGTTTGAAAATTTTCCGAAAAAAGCCCTGGCTGGTGTGGCTCAGTGGATTGAGCTCTGGCCTGCGAACCAAAGGGTCGCCGGTTCGATTCTCTTTCATGAATCCCTAGGGGGCACATGAGAAGCAACCACACACTGATGTTTCGCACCCTCTCCCCTCTCCCTCCCCCTCTCTCTAAAAATAAATAAATAAAATCTTTTAAAAAAATTTATCTTATTTGTTATTCTCCTGATCACATTTTATGTACAGTGGTAGTGCAGTACTCAGTACGATTAGTCAGTCTTTCATGGCCAAAGTGGAAGTCTAGGCATACACTTTTGAATCCTCTTTTCACTTAATTTCATACATAAACATTTCCCTTACTGATTGCTACACAAAGGAGGTTGGACGCCTTTACGCTGAGTCCGCTTTCTGCCCCCTCTCTCACTCTGCTCCCCTCCGTGTGAAACAGGTCTGTTGCCACTTTGCTTCTCGGTGCTGTCATTGCCAGGGTGTCACGGACCTCACACCCTGGGGTGTTCTGCTGGGACCTGGCAGCCGCGTCCCCGTTGTGGAGCCAGGGCTGCCCGTGGTGGGCGTGTTGACTCCGGTGCTGACGGGGACAGCTTCGTCCTTTTGTGGTCTCATGGCAGAGCCTTTTCTTTTGGTTTTCCAGGGCAGCCAATGAAGTGCAACCTTCACATGAACGGGAACGTCATCACCTCGGACCAGCCCATCCTGCTGTGAGTCCCAGAGGCAGCGGTGCTGGGAGCGGGCTTTCCCCTGCCCGCTCTGCGGGGCCGCCTCTTTACCCCGAGGGGCGGGCTGCCCGCGTCACAGCCCCACGCCGTCCAGTTCCTGTGCTCCGAGGGCGGGCAGTCAGCCGGGGCGCTTAGATTCGTGCAGAGTGGCTTGTCTCCTGTCACCGCAGGGGCTGGCCGCACAGGGGTTACCTTTAAGACCTGTTCCCAGCCTCGTAATCTAGAAACCCCTGAGAAGACAGTGGAGGGCAAGCCAGATGTGTCCCTCTTTGCAAAACTGGGTGCACTGTCCAAGGGAACGGAGAACTCCACCTCCTGTGACTGGCTGAGCCGGTGCTGGTGGCTGCCGCTCGTTTTGTTTCGGACGCCCGGGCGCACGCGCCCGGCCCGGGACAGAGATGCGTGGGGTGTCTGGACAGGCCGGGCACCCTTTGTAAGGAGACGGAGACCAGGGAGGGTGTTGGACGAGCCAAGGGGGGTGGGGCGGGGTGGGGCGGGGTGGGGCGGGCCTGAACGAGACTGTGGCTTGGAAAGACCGAAGTGGGAACCCTGGGTATTGAATTGTGTGGTTTGGACAAGTTTCTTAAGCTTGTGTCCCAGAACTGAGTCGTGTTCTGAAAAGTGTGTCTCCTGTGGCTTAGTGAGCTTGGGAACTGCAGGGCTCTGCAGAGTTAAATTGACTCCCTTACCTCAGGACTCCTCAGAATGTTCAGTGCGCTGGTGCACAGCGCGGCCCTGCCTGGGGACACGCGCTGATTTTACCCTGGCCCCCGGCCCCCAGCAGGCGGCCTCCCAGGTTTCTCGCTGGCGAGTCGGAGAGGTCTGTGGGCTCGCACAGATGGAGCGAGGTGAAGGGGTACAGAGAGCTTGTGACAGATGCTCAGTAAGTGGGGTCCCCCCCTGCCCGGGGCAGACTGACAGGGGTTTGGGCTCTCCCTGCCCCCCGCAGACGGCTGAGCGACGGTCCCTCGGTGAGAAAGGAGAGCGAGCTTCCCCGCAGGGTGAACTCGGCCGCCTCGTCCCACCCTCCCGCCGAAGTGGACCCGGACACCATCCTGAAGGCGCTCTTCAAGTCCTCGGGGGCCTCCACGGCCCCGCAGCCCACAGAGTTCAAGATCAAACTCTGAGGAGGGAGCGAGGCGGCCGGAGCAGGGGCAGAGGAGAGCGACTCTGCGTCCCGAAGCGACGCTGGTGACCGGTGGGCCGCGGGGCCGGGGCCCCGGCAGGGGGTGGAGCTTCCTCGCTGGACGGGACTGCCTTTCTGTGCTGTGTTCTGCCCTGTGCTCCCTGTGCGGTAACGTGTCCCGTAGTGTGTTTCTCTCCCTCCGCCTTCTCGCCAAGGTAGGTTCGTGCTGCCCAGAGTGTCTCTCCCCCTGACCTCGGCCCCAAACTGGTTTCTTACCTGGAAATACGTCCTGAATTCTCCGTGTGGCTTCCTTGTGGCTCTGTGGCGTACGGGGCAGGGCTGTTTGAAGGACACCCCTTTCCCCAGGGGCAAGGGGCCGCCTCCCATTTCTGCTTTTCAACTTCGCAAACAAAACGGAGAACGGAAGCCTCTGCCGTCCTAACGGGGCCGGGGCAGCTCCAGGGCTGGGCCGCCCACCTGCCTGCTCAGTGGGGTGGCCGGCTGGGCATCGGCTCACGGGCCTCTTGGCCTTCCAGCACACCGTGGTCTGGGGAGGGCCCTGCTGGTGCGGGTGGTCGGGTGGGGGCGCTGCCGCTCTGCTGGGAAGAGGGCACCCCAGCTCCTGGCCTGAGGGTCCGTGCTGCCTCAGGCCCTGCAGAGTAAATCCCTGGTCACGTTTCCCTTTCCCACTGGGGTACGTCAGGGAGGGCCCCCATCCCCACCAGCTCTCGTGGTCTCTGGTTATCCCTGCGGGGAGGGTTTGCATTGCTGGTTCCTCAAGTTTCACTAGCCAAGCGCTAATCACGTCCTGATTTTGCTTTCCCCTAGTTCTGTGACGTGGGGTTTGGAGGGTTACTGAAAGGGGGGATGTTGGCTTGCTCCTGGCGCTTTCTCTCTGGCCTCGGATGTCCATAGGGCAGTAGTTAGGGGTGCTGGGAGCAAATGTGATTGTAACCACCAAGGGGCACGATCTCCATTATTATAAGTGACCTGTCCGTCGGTGACCAGAGAGAGAGCTTCCTGCCTTGGCAGTAGGGGGAGGGGAGTGGTGGGTGGTGAGGAGGGGTTGAGCGAGGAGAGCAGCCCTTCCAGGCGGGCAGTGGGTTGGTCCCTCGGCGTGGTTCCCGGGAGCCGGGCAAACCTGTAGAGCCCGGGGCAGCTCTGACGGCGCTGCTCCAGAGCCACTGTCAGTCTCCCACCGGTTTTGGGGACTGCACAGGGAGTCCGGGCTGACACAGCCAGAGGGAGCTGGGGAGCAGGACTCCGGGAGCTCTGCCGAGTCAGCAGCAAGGTCCGTGAAAGGCACAAGCCTAGCAAGGAGAGGGGGCTGAGGCACTAAGGACCTCCGTCTGGGCCAGCCCAGGGAAGAAGAGCCTGGACGATCGTGTTTCCTCAGAGTTGGATCTGTCAGGCAGGAGGGACCCAGGGTTCGAGCCCACCCTCCAGCCTCGAGGTTGCCCAGGCCAGCCCAAGGGATGTGCCTGGTGGTGCTCCCCCTCCCCGTTCTTAAAGAGTGCAGGTTTTGTTCCCTTCTTCCCCTTCGAATGGGTGCGGATTTGATTCTCAGCAGCTGGAAGACATTCCTCCGACACTTTCCTGAAACTTCTTGGCCCGGGAGAGCACCCAAGGCAGTAGGACCTGACTTCTCGGGTCCTGAGCCCGGTCTGGCCACTGCCCAGCCTTGGCTGTGCACGGGGATGAGAAGCACCCTGCCCACCGGTTCTGCCCTCCTCCCCCTCCAGTCCCACGCCAGCTGCTCTGCGGCCAGAGTTCGCCGAGCCGCTGCCGCCCTGGCCGTCTGGACCCGGTCCTTGGGGCCGCCGCGCGGCACGTGGTGGGATGAAGCCTGCCCGCCTCCCGGGTCTGCACGGCGCCATGGAAAGGAGGGAAGAGGAGGCGGTGGGCCGGTCCTTGTGTCCTCAACTTGCTACTCCCTACCTTTCTCCATCTTGTCTCTTCTGTTCAAAGGAAGAGGGAAAGGCATTAAGGGATGGAGAAGACTCTGTTACTTAATACATTTCTGAATAAATGTTTGTTATTCCTACCTCTGAGCTGTCATTTCTTCAAAAATTTTACTAAGTGGCCCTGTAGGAACCAGAAACAGGCATGGCCTTTGCTTTACATTCACCCGCTCTGAGCTTGCAGTTCCTCACAGCAGGCTCCGCCCCCCGAGTCTGCGCAGCTGAGAAAAGGGGAGGGTCACTGTGGGGGCGCTGGGCACGGGGGCTCACAGCCTCCAGGGCCCAGGGCCCCGCTGGGTGTTGGGCATGGTTGGCTCCAGCAGAGCGCTGGGCCTGGTCTGACTGATGGTTTTTGTCTTGGTTTAAAGAAGTTAAACTCAGAAATTTAACCTCTTAGAGCAACTGTGCATTGGGGAAAAATTAATCTTTTTATTGTAGTAAAATACATATACATTGTATTGAGTTAACCATTCTTTAGTATCCAGTTCATTGGTATTAAATACATGCACAATGTTGTGCAAGCCTCAGCCCCATCCATCCCTGTAGTGCTTTCGTCTCGTAGAGCTGCAGCTCTGCACCCACTCAATGCTAGCGCCCCTTCTTCCCTCCGCCAGCCCCTGGCGGTCACCATCCTACTTCCCGTCTTTGTGATTCTAACTACTCGGAAAGTGCAGCCACACGTATTCGTATTTTCCTGATGCCTTCTTTCACTCGACATGTCTTCAGGGTTCGTCTGTGTTGTAGCATGTGTCGGAATTGGCTTGTTAAGGCTGAGTAATATTTCATGGTGCACATGCACCACATTTCGCTTATCCGGCCATCCACCGAGGGACCTTGGGTTGCTTCTGCATTGTAGCCATTGTGACTAATGCTGCTGTGCCCGCGGTGTACAAATGGCTCCTTCAGACGCTGCTTCCAGTTCTTTGGGGCATTTACCCAGAAGTGGAGTGGCTGTATCTTATGTTGATTTTATTTTTAAAGTTCTAAGGAATCATTACTCTAATTTCCACAGAAGCTGCACCATTTGACGTTTCCAAAATGAAATAACCCACTTTTGGGAAGAGGAAAGTGATCAGGGACCTTAGAACCCAAGGAATGACTCCCCCTGAGTTTCCTGGGTCTTGGTTTTGCTTCACGTATCCCAAATTGTGTGCCAGAGAAGCAAGCGAGCAAACAAACAGCCCAAGGGCCTGAAAAGGGATAGCAGACTGAGAACCAGCCCCAAGCTTCCCCAGCAAAGGCCGAATCGGGAGCCTTGACTTCCAGCCTCACTGTGCTGTATGGGGAGGCCCCAAAGTCTCTTGGTGGTGGTGCCAGGCCAAGTGGGGAACTGGAATGTGAAGTTCATACCAGTGGAGGCCACATGAGGAGCGGTGAGGCACCCCAGCCCCTTCCAACCCAGGTACTAACAGCGGACGGGTAGTGGGGTGACGGCCCTCCCCCCACCCGGAAGTCGCTAGGAGACACTACTACCCTGGGTGTCCGCACCCTTCGTGAGGAACCCGAACTCCCCGCACCTGGCAGTAACGACGTGGTGCCGCCCCACCCCCACCGGGGGAGGTGTGCCGCGGAAGCCTGAAGGAGACCTGGAGTGCTCATGGTACCCAAGATGTCCATGTGCAGTTGAAAATCGCTCATACCGAGGGCCAGGAAGATGTCAACTTGAAGGAGAAAAGACAGTTGACTCAACGCGAACATGTCAGAGATGGTGACAAGGACAAGGATTTAAAACAATAATTATAGGCCCTGGCTGGCATAGCTCAGTGGACTGAGCGCGGGCTGGGAACCAAAGTGTCCCAGGTTCAATTCCCAGCCAGGGTACATTCCTGGGTTGCAGGCCATGACCCCCAGCAACCGCACATTGATGTTTCTCTCTCTCTCTCTCTCTCTCTCTCTCTCTCTCTCTCTCTCTCCTTCCCTTCCCTCCCTAAAAATAAATAAATAAAATCTAAAAAATAATAATTATAAAAGTGAGTGAATAATTGTGAACACAGTTTAAACAAGTAAAAAAAAATCTCAGCAAAGAAATAGAAAGTATAAAGAACCATTTTGAGTTGAAAAATAGAAGAAGAAAAACAATGGAGAAAAAAATAGTGAACTGAGGTCAAACTATAGAAATCACACAAGCTGAACAATAGAAATAAAGGACTTCAGGGACCTCTAACAAAAAGTCTAAAATCTGTCATCAGTCCCAGTAGGAGAGAAAAAAGGGAAGTGCTAAAAACAGTTGAAGAAATTATGGCTGTACACTTCCCAGAAATAGCAAAAGATAAAAAGCCTGCAGATTGAAGAAGCTCAGGGGACCCATATAAGATAAACCTAAAGAAAGTCTCACCAGGACACAGCATAATCAAACTTCTGAAAACTAAAGACAAAATTTCAAAAGCAGCAAGAGAAATGTTGCCTTCTGTGTAGGGAACAACAATTGGAGTGACAGCAGATTTCTCATTAGGAACCACGGGTCCAGAAGGAATGGCGTGCTTTTCGAGTGTGGGAAGGAAAGTATTGACTAAAAATCCACTTCCAGCAAAAATATCCTTGAGGAATTAGGGTGAATGTAGACATTATCAGATGAAGGAAATCTAGGAGAATTTGTCGCCAGCAGACCTATCCTGAAAGAATGGCCCGGGAAGTTCTCCAAGAGCCCTGGCTGGTGTGGCTCAGTGGATTGAGCGCCGGCCTGCAAACCAAAGGGTCATCAGTTTGATTCCCAGTCAGGGCACACGCCTGGGTTGCAGGCCAGGTCCCCAGTAGGGGGCGTGCGTGAGGCAACACACATTGATGTTTCTCTCCCTCTTCCTTTCTGAAAAAAACAAATCTTTTAGCTCTGGCTGGCATAACTCAGTGGATTGAGTGCGGGCTGCGAACCAAAGTGTCGCAGGTTCAATTCCCAGTCAGGGTACATGCCTGGGTTGCAGGCCATGACCCCCAGCAACCGCACATTGATGTTTCTCTCTATCTCCCTCCCTAAAAATAAATAAAATCTTAAAAAAAAAACCACCCACGAATCTTAAAAAGTTCTCCAAGAGACAGACTCATGGATAGATAGCAGTCTGACAGTTGTGTGTGTGTGTGTGTGTGTGTGTGTGTGTGTGTAGGGATGGTCTGTGAGGTAGAGGGACTGAGCAAAAAAGAAAAAGCCCCGCTGGAGCAGTTTGGTGGGTTAGAGTGTCATCCCCACGCACCAAGTTTTCGGTTTTCTCTCCCATCAGGTCACATGCAAGAATCAATGGAGGAATGTATATCAGTAAGTAAAACAACAAATCCTTGTTTCTCCTCTTTCTGTCTCTTCCTTCCTATCTCTCTCTAAAATAATCAATTAAAAAATTTAAACCTCGATTCCCAGTCAGGCCACATACCTGGGTTGTAGGCCACAGCCCCCAGCAACCGCACATGGATGTTTCTCTCTCTTTTTCTCCCTCCCTTCCCTCTCTAAAAATAATAGATAAATAAAATCTTTAAAAAAATTTAAACCCATTTGCAGATTAATGGGGTAGAATGGACAGTCCAGACACAGAGCCTCACCTGTCTGGTAATTTAAGTGTCAACACGGGTGCCAAGACGATGGAGTGACAGATACTCTGTTCAGTAAATGGTTCAAAGATAAACTGGATACCCACAAAAAATAATTCATCAAAATTAAACATGTCTTTGTTTTTGTGGATGAGTTTAATGAAGTGAAGAGACAACCTACAGAATAGAAGGAAATACTTGCAAATCATAAATCTGTTGAAGGAATTAAATCCAGAAAAAAACTCTTACCTCTCAGTGATAAAAAGACAAGGTAAATGGGCAAAGGATTCGAGTACACGTTTCCAGGGAGGGAGGGAGGGAGGAAGAAATAGACAAGTGGCCACTGAAAATCTGCAAGGAGGTTCAGTATCTTTTGGTCATCAAGGAAATGCTAATCAAAATGCCACGAGGCACCACGGCAACTAGGACGGTGATAATTAAAAAGGTGGACACTGATGCGTGGGTCACCAGCCAGCAGTGGTCACAGAACACTGCGGATGGCTCGTCGAAAAACATGCGAGAAAAAACATGCACAGAGACAGACCAGTTTCTGTGGAGAAGTAGGGACGGAATGGCCACCCCCTCTAGTGGGGAGTGCACCGATTTACCGTCCAAACCTGCTTTTATTAGGCTCGTTTTGCATAATAATTCAGGTAAAGCACAGTACTCATTAGGGGAAGTAAGGAACCATAGAAAACAAAGAACTCTGCCGGTCTATTGAGTCGGGGTCAAAGAGCTGTAAGACTTTGAGGAACAAACTAACTTCCTCCTAGGACCCTTCTCATTCAACTGAGAGCATTCTAAACAAAGAAGGTTTCACAGGAATCTACATTCTTTCTTAGACTTGATCACCCAGGCAATCCGCCCTTCAGCACAGAGCTGCACCACCCTGTCATTGTTTCAGGCTTAGGTGGAGCAAGGGAACTAAGGCAGCCAAGAGATGAGGAGATTTTCTCCCAGAGGATGAGAACTCAGGCTATGTCAAAGCTGAGGAGCGAGGGTCCATCACCCCCTTTTGCTGCAGCCCCCAAAGTCCTTCTTTGGGGGGCCTCCCATGTGATCGTGCCTGTCTTAGGTCGTTCCCCCCCTTGGGGAATCACCCGTCTTTGGCTAACCGACCAAGCTTTGGGGTTCAGTTATGAATGAAGCAGCAAAAGCAGCGCTCCTGCCGGGGAGATAAGCTTTTGTCTCCTTGCTGGCTTATGGTTCCAAGGGTGTTCCCTTAGCCTTAGCCTAGGCGGGGGTTGCAGCTTCTGATACCAGTCAGGGCAGTTCCCAACGGGACACTTAAGCCCTGGCTGGCGTAGCTCAGTGGATTGAGTGCGGGCTGTGAACCAAAGTGTCGCAGGTTCGATTCCCAGCCAGGGGACATGCCTCGGTTGCAGGCCATGGCCCCTGGCAACCGCACATTGATGTTTCTCTCTCTCTCTCTCCCTCCCTTCCCTCTCTAAAAATAAATCTTTTTAAAAAATGTTGGACACTAACAAGCATTGATGAGGATGTGGAGAAGGTGGGACCCTCAGGCATTGCTGGTGGACACACAAAATGGTACAGCCACTTTGGAAAACATTTTGGCAGTTTTCAAAAAAAATTAATTACCGTATGACCCAGAAATTTCACTCCTCAATACCCAAGGAAACTTAAAACATGTCTGCAAAAAATTTTACACAAATGTTTATAGCAACGTTATTCATTGCAACCAAAATTACCGACAACCCAAACGTCCTTCGGCAGATCAATGGAAAAATGCAATGTGGGCCATACCTCTGTGGATATAGGGACATCTGAGCCTGCAGGGAACTTCATGAGTTTATTCGAGGTATTTGGGCCAACTGAGGATGTGTCCAGGAGTAAGCTTGGCATAGATGGAGAGAATGCCCCAGAAAAGGGCAGTCTGGCGGTTCTTTTTATGCATTCATGGTCAGAGGAGGGAACACAGGGAAGATGACGAGAAGTCCATGGACGGTCGATGAAGGAGAGGGAGAAAGCAAAGCAGGAACCCTCTAGAACTAGGTGAAAAGTCAAACGAAGAGAACATACACAGTGAATACGGATGATGTACCAATAACACGATGACATGCTCCCCCGAGGGGCCCGAAAGAGAGGATTGCTGTGACATTTCGGAAGTGCGTTGACCTAGACGCACAAAAGCAGAGCTTGCTTAGGGCAAAGGGGAACGCTTTACTAAGGAAGCTGTGGGCCTGGGCACTGACTACCCACGGCCTGCCCAGTGAGGGGTGTAAGACAGATCACCCTGTGTGGCCCGTTTCGGTCCCTGAGCTAGTCAGATTCACTTCATAGCTCCTCCCCTCATTCACTGCACGGGCATGCGCCCTGACAGAATCCAGTCAGCCGCCTGTGTGTGGGTTTGCAGGGCGACGGCCGCCCCAGCGAGGCACACCAGTCATGGCACGTGCACTGTAAAACAGTCACCGGCCTGTGTGTGTTCTGTCTCCATAAACATAAAAAAAATAGTGACTGAAACAGCAAAAATACGCTCTCACTATGCTGCAGCTTCAGCAGGACTCGGCACAGAGGACTGGTGTGTCCATATGTTCACTACTGCGGCTTCATGTCACCAGTTCCGCTGCGGTGACAACATCTGGTGCACCGCAATGCAGGTGGCCGCCACCTCCGCTGCAGCGTCTCTTGCCGTGTGCAGTCTCACACTCAGAACTACAGAACGGGCTTCTTCACGAGCCTGGACCCCAAGAGGATGGACGCTATGAGCATCCATCCTGCGCTTCAAAACCCCAGTATAGGACTTCCCTCCCATCCTGTCACCAAAGCGAGTCACAAGATTAGCCACACTTACAAGGGCACATAGATTGCACCTGCTGATGCAAGGAATGGCCATCTTCGTTAAAAAAATCTCCCACAGCCCTGGCTGGTGTAGCTCAGTGGATCGAGTGCCAACCTTTGAAGTAGAGGGTTGCCGGTTTGATTCCCAGTCAGGGCACATGCCTGGGTTGCAGGCCGGGTCCCCGATGGGGGACAAATGAGAAGCAACCACATACTGATGTTTCTCTTCCTCTTTCTCCCTCCCCCTCTGTCTAAAACTAAATAAAATCTTTTTTAAAAAATTTCCAACCCTGGCTGGCGTAGCTCAGTGGATTGAACGCGGGCTGGGAACCAAAGTGTCCCAGGTTCGATTCCCAGCCAGGGTACATTCCTGGGTTGCAGGCCATAACCCCCAGCAACTGCACTTTGATGTTTCTGTCTCTCTCTCTCTTCTCCTCCCTTCCCTCCCTAAAAATAAATAAATAAGATCTTTAAAAAAAAAAAAGTTCCCCTAAAACTTAAAAAAAAAAAAATTTCCCACAGACCATTTGGAGCTGAAATTATTGGGCCTTTGCTTCCAACAACAAGCAGAACCAGGTAATAAGGGAAAGCCTCCCCTCCCAAAACACCTAGAAACTCTTCACATAACACCCTTCCTTCCGTGGCTGTGCACCCATGAGAAGAAGGACGCTCCGGGTACAAAATGAAGAATCTGCACACTGGAATGTTAAGTTAGATGGGAGCTGTGGCTGCCTTCAAAATATCTGTTGGTCACCAGGACTTAACTACTGGTTTTCAAAGGCTGAAGTGGGGATAGGGGACAAGGCTATCGGCCCACACCAAGGTGCTACTGGCACTTGTAGTCTTGCATCAGATTCCCTTCGCGGTGTCTGCTGGGATCACCTACCAAATAAACTCCTTGTGCCCGAATCCCTGTCCCTAGGGCCGCCTGCTGGTGGGAGGACCCACTCTAAAGCAGTTGGCCCCAGAGGGGAGCCCAAGCGATCCTCAGAATTCGAGTCCGGATGGGGAAGATCTCACCAACCCGATGGTAACAAAAAAGACCCAGTAGCAGCCGATGGTACGGGGGTGGTGCGGTGGGTGAAGATGGCTGCGGGCGAGAGGACATTCTCCGTTGGGAGGGGGGGTCTGTGCCCCTCTGAGTCTGGGTGGGCTCTGCTGCTGCTTTGAGCAGATGGGACTCAGCCAACTGCTGGGCCCGGACTTTGGAACCCTGGCGGTATCCCCACTTCCTGCCCCTGCAGACCCTCTGGGGTCCCGGGACCACCAGGGAGACGGACTGCCTCCTGAGCCCGCATTCCGGGAGAGCCGTGGGTAGGTGCTCCAGCTGACAGTCCCACGCGGGCCCAGCCTCCCAGCCGCCCAGCCAAGGTGGCAGCCACGCGAGTGAGGCTGACTCGGACCCCGCAGACCAGCCCGCGCGCCAGTTGAATACCCTGTGGAGCAAGGGAATCGCCTGGTTGAGCCCTGCCCAGATCCCTAACCCGCCACGTCCGGAGATACAAGATAATGGCTCTCGTTTCTCCCAGTTCAGCTCTGAGGCACCAGCTGGCCGTGCAAACCCCTGTGCTGAGCCATCGCAATGACTGGGGCATCTCTTCTGCACTGTGCTGGGACACGGAGGGCAAGGCGGAGCGCTGCAAGTGACAGCCCCATCCTTTTAGTTCCAAGGACACCGAAGCTAGCACTAGCCCCAGGTTTCTCCTTTTCCCCACATTGCCTGTCCAGTCCGTCAGCAAATCCCGTTGGAATTCACCAGACATGCCCGGAACCTGACCACCTCTCATCACCCCGTCAGGCAGCACCCTAGTGACCAAGCCGCCATCTTGCCTCTGGATGGTTGCAGTGGTGTCCTACACGATCCTGCTGCCGCCCTTGCCCTCCAAGTCTAATTGCAATGTGACAGCCAGAGTGACTGTTACACGTCACCCCTTGCTGCTGAAAACCCCCCAGGGACCCCCAAGCCACACAGGCAGAGGAACCAAGAGCTTCTGGTGGTCTATTGGATGCCCCCCCCACCCCAGAGGTCAGCCAGACTCTGCCCCTCAGATTGTCCTCTGGCTCACTGCGCCCCAGCCACAGTCTCCTTGCTGTTTGTCTAGCATGCCAGGGAGGCTCCGGGCTCAGGGCCTCTGCTCCTGCCGTGCCCTCTGCTCAGAATGTATTTCCCCAACACCTGAGTGACTGCCTTGCTCCCTCACCTCCTTCAAATACTTGCTCGATTATCACTTCAGTGAAGCTTTTACCTTATCGAAAGTTGCAACACCGCCCCTCACCACACTCCCCTCTTGCTTCATTTTCCTGTTTAGCACTTTGCATTGATGCCTATACTCTGTATTTTGCTTCTTTGAGTACTTATTGCTCTTCTCCCTCGATACAATATAAATTCCAGGAAGGCAGGGTTTTATTTCACCTGTGTATCTCCAGCGCTTAGGACAGTGCCTGGAACATTCACTGGTATTTGTGGAATACATGAATGAATAGATGGATGGATGGATGGATGGAAGGTGAGTTCGCACCTGAGAGCGGCCCCCATCACGCCTTCAATTACTTGTAACTTTACGCGATTACTTTATTCTGGGCAAACGAAGGCTGGGCGCTGGGGTGACACGGGCCAGAGAAGGCAGCCCAAAACCCAGAGGGTGGGAACGCCAGGGGGCGCCGTCGTCTGGATAACGCGTAGCTACCGGCCTCCAACTCCAACTCCCAGCAGCCCGCGCGGCTTCCGGTCGGCAAGATGGTGGCGCGCAGGAGGAAGCGTGCGCCGCGGGGCTCTGAGGATGGGATCCCGGGCCCTCTCGGCTACTCAGGTGAGGGGCTGCGGAACACGGGGCGGAGTACGGCCAGACTTTGCCCCGAGGCGTCTCGCGCGGGTCGGCCGTGGCTCGGCATTTTGAGAGGCCCCGGGTCCCCCGAGGCCCCCGCGGCGCCTTGCTCTGGTCTAGCTTACTCCCCCGGGACGAGCCCGTTTGGCCATCGCTGCCCGTGGGAGAAGTCGCCTCTGTCCGCGCTCTCGCGCAGGCGTGCCCTTCTCCACCTTGCCCCTCGGTGAGCACCTGTCCCCTCGTCGCCTCTCTGCAGTCCCCTGCCCGGCCCCCACCGGACGTGCCTTTCTCATCGCTTGTGCGGCTTGTGTTCCTGCCCCTGCTTCTGTTCTCCTCCGGGTGCCAGGAGGTTCTTTCTGAAGTGAGGGTGAAATCAGGTCTTGCCTGCCACGCGCACCTCTGTCCCCCAGCCCACCCCGCTGAGCTGCCGGCGGCGGCCCCCGTTAGCACCTACCCTCAACCCGAAAGGGTCGCCGCTGACCCGCCTGGCCCCACTCGTCCCGCCGGTGCCCTCTTCCCCCGAGTCCCTGCCGCAGCGGCGCCCTGGCTGTTGGCCGCCTTGCGTCCCAGCCGCCCTGGAAGGGGCCTTCCGCACGCTCAGCTCGGGACTGCTGCGCGCTGTGTCTTTTGTAGTCGATGCAGTGTCGTTTCCTGCCTCCTTGCTCGCTGGCTTCCCCATTGCCGTGTGAGCTCCGTGAGTGCGGGGAAGCTGTGTCCCCACTGCTCCCTGAAGAAGGTGGTGGGAGAAACGGAAAACTGCCCGCAGTTTTATGAGGATTAAAATGTACGGGGGGCCTGGCCCATGGGGCTCAGCTGGTGGGCGTGGCCTCCCGTGCACTGGAAGGTCACGTGTGGGGCTCCCCCCGCAGGGCAGAAGCCTGGGTTACGGGTTTGTCTTTGGCTCCGGCGGCAAGTGACTGGTGTTTCTCTCATTGATGTTTCTCTCCCTCTCTCCCTCCTTCCCCCTCTCTCTCTTAAAAAAAAAAAAAAGAAAATATGAAAGATTACCGGTATAATCATAAGACTTAGAACCATAAGAGAATGTGGAAGGCTTAGAGCTGGTGGGTCTAACCTGACACGTGTGCCGCGTGGTGGGGCGGATGGTGTGAGGAGGTGCCCAGGGCCCGCTGGGCCTCTGGCGACCGGCGACCGGAAGGGTTTTGGCGTTTGCCCCCCTAGCCGCAGTGGGGACCTTTCCCCCGGTTTCACTGCCCCCCTGTAATAGTTGCCCGGTTGCCTTCTGCCTCCTCCACCAGCTTGGGGGCCCCTCCTGGCAGACTCTTTGCTCATTCACTCTCATAGGCTGTACAGCGCCCTGCACGGGCCTTGCCTAGAGGAAGGACTTGGTGAAGGATGGATGGGTGGGTGGGCGGACAGACAGACAGACAGACAGGGACAGCCTGAACCTAACCTTCATGCCATCTCTCCCTGCCCCTTTTCTTTGCCAGCGGTTCCGATCAAGTTCTCTGAAAAGCAGCAGGCTTCTCACTACCTGTATATTAGAGAGCACAGAGTTCGAGAAGGCACCAAGTCTTCCTGGCCTCAGAAGAGGACCCTTTTTGTCCTCAATGTGCCCCCGTACTGCACAGAGGTGAGCTGGTATCTGGGAGGGAGTCTGTAAGCTCAGGTGGGGCTTTAGGCAGAACGGCCCCCACTGTTCCCCGCCAAGTCCTTCCTGGGGACAGAGGCCGATAAATGAAGCCCCAAGGGAAGGTGCCTAGAGGGCAGTCTCTCCCCCGTGACAGGGAATTTGCTTTCTGCACATGTCCTTTGAGGCCCTGGCTGGTGGGCTGAGCGCCTGCCTGCGAACCGAAGGGTCGCTGGTTCAATTCCCAGTCAGGGCACATGCCTGGGTTGCAGGTCTGGTCCTCACTAGGGGGCGGGGGAAAGGCAACCACACACTGATATTTCTCTCTCTCTGTTTCTGCCTCCCTTCCCCTCTCTATAGAAATAAATACATGAAATCTTTAAAAAAAAATGCAGTTGTAAGGAATGCAAGGCACAAGGCTTTTTATGATTACCTAGAAGTGTTTCAATTGCATGTTGTATTTTCCCTGGTTATAAAAGTGGTGTGTGTCCATAGTGAAGTATAGGAGAAGTCCCCTGGCTGGTGTGCTTAATGGATTGAATGCCAGCCTGTGAACCAAAGGGTCACCAGTTCGATTCCCAGCCTGATCACATGCCTGCTTTGTGGGCCAGGTCCCCACTGGGAGGCATGCTAGAGGCAACCACACATTGAGGTTTCTCTCCCTCTCCCCTTCTTTCCCTCTCTCTAAAAAAAGAATAGGCAAAATATGAGAAAATAAAATTACTTCTAAATCTATCCGGATATATCAACTATTTTTTTTTTTATGGTATTGGGAACCCATTTTTTTAAAGATTTTATTTATTATTTTTAGAGGGGCGGGGGGAGAGAGAGAGAGAGAGAGAGAGAGAAACATCAATGTGCGGTTGCTGGGGGTTATGGCCTGCAACCCAGGAATGTACCCTGGCTGGGAATCGAACCTGGGACACTTTGGTTCCCAGCCCATGCTCAATCCACTGAGCTACGCCAGCCAGGGCTCAACTATTTTTCACAAAACTGTAATATTTAGTATTATGTAAATTAACAGAAGAGAAGCTATTATTTTTCAAAAAAGAAATCCCAGTTTCTCAAAGATGAGAGTTAAAACACTTTAAAATAGAGGATGGTAGTTCAGTAGATGAAACCATTGAGAGGAGAGGGTGTCATTTTAGCCGTCACTCCAGAGTAGCGTGTGCGGGGAGAAGGGCCTGGGCCGTGGGTGTGCAGCCCGAGCGTGTCACAGACCGGGCATTCTCCTGCGGTCGGCGGCGCCCGGATGGAGAAACAGCACTACCCGCACCCCAGGTTCCCCGCGCGCCCCTCCCCGCAGCGAGGCTGAGCTGCAGGCTGATGCCAACAGCATAGATTTCACTTGCTGATCTGTAAATGGCTGGTTCAGGTACAGAAACTTACTCAGTTGCTTTATAAAGTGAGAATACTCAGAATAACCCCCCAGGTGTCCACGTCTATTCTGGTAATAATGTTTTTTTTTTTTAAATTGAGGACGTACTCCTACTTTTGGGATCATTTACCTGGAGAAATTGGTAGGAAAGAGGAATCTTTCAGATGGGTGTGCTTTCAGAGAGAGAGAGAGAGAGAGACCCTTTCACTGGGGTGAGAGAACCGGACACAGGCTGGGCACGTGCTTCCCGCAGGGCCCCGTCAAAGCCAGACCTGGTGCCCGCGTTCCGCTGCTCTCTCTGTCCTCCTGAGCGCCCTGGCCGGCAGAGGGGTAGTTTTTTTACCCAGTGTTTATCGAGCCGATTGACAAGGTTTTGCCCCAAGAACCCCGGGTAGGGTAGGATTTTAACCTCCACGTTGAGGAGGCTGCGGCCTGCTCAGGCCTCCCCCGCACGCCCCTGACTTGGGCCCGGATGTGGGGTCTCAGACCTGCAGGGTGGAGGGAGGCTCCTGCAAGGCCCCGGGCCACTCACGCTGGGCTTCTTGGGCCACGGCAGGAGTGCCTGTCCCGCCTCCTCTCCCCGTGTGGCCCCGTCCAGTCGGTGGAGCTGCACGGGAAGCCCGAGCTCGCCGGGAGCCCGAAGGAGCCGAAGTCGAAGTTTTTCCACCCCAAGCCCATCCCGGTAAGCCTGCGAGCGCTGGGGTCTTCACGAACGGGGGCGTTGCGTGGGGCTGGGGCGGTGTCCCCAGCACGGAGGGGGGAGGTGGTGCCGAGTGGCAGTGGGACATTCCGAGTATTCCCTGTGTGGTCCCGGGGCGCTGGCAGGTGAAGCGCCTCCACCCTCGCCCCAGACTCGCCGCATCCTCCAGCTTCCTGCTGGCTGTTTCCCTTGTCCCGGGCGGGAGCTCAGAGACCCTTCCTCAGTCCTGCCCTGAGGGCCCTCCCTGAGCTCCCCCTCTGCAGCCGCTTCTTCTCAGGCCCCACGGCCCCACAGTCCTTGCCCTGTGTCCCTCGAGCCCGCGCCTTCTCCTGGGACAGCGCGAGCGTCCACCCCAGGCCTAGGGTGCGCGCAGTTTTCCCGAGCCCCTCCCGTAACTGCAGGGCAGGCCCCCGCTGCTGGGCTCTTCCAGCACAGGGCGGGTGACCGGGGGCACAGGGCGGGTGACCAGGGGCACAGCCATCCCACCTCTGGACGGGGGGCAGCCTCCTGGTCGCCTTCACCGCTCAGGAACAGCCCAGCCCGCCTCCCCTGGTCCCGGGACAAGTCAGGCTGGGGCCAGGTAGAGCCCCTTGGGCCGGACGTGGGTGGTTGGGAGAACGGGAGGGCTGCCGGCGTGGTGACGGCACTCGCTCCCCGCAGGGGTTCCAGGTGGCCTACGTGGTGTTCCGGAAGCCCAGCGGGGTGGCGGCCGCCGTGGCCCTGAAGGGCCCTTTGCTGGTGTCGACAGAGAGCCACCCCGTGCAGAGCGGCGTGCACAGTCAGTACTGCGGGAGGCGTGGGCGCCTGGGCCCTGGGGCGCGGGGGGGCTGGGTCGGGCGGCGTCTGCTGTGTTCACGGGCCCCAGGGCGGGGTGAGGGCCCAGCATGCCGCCGCCGCAGCCCTCCTCACCACCGGACCCTGGGCTGTCGTCCCCGTGCCTGTGCTGCTGTGAGACGTCCCAGGCCAGCCGGGACGGGTGTCCCCCGAGTGTCAGCCTGAGGAAGTCCCGCCCCCTCGCTCCCTGCTCCCTCAGAGTGGATCCGTGACTACACAGACTCCATCCTGGACCCGGAGACCCTGAGGGTCGAAGTGGACACGTTCATGGAGACGTATGACAAGAAGATAGCTGAGGTGGGGCTTCCGGGAGCGGCCGCTGCAGGGAGCTGGGGCCGCAGGTGTCCTGGTGTGGCTCCCGGGGGGCGTGGGGCTGCAGCCTGTCCTGGTCACCTCGCAGACTCCAGACTTCCTTTTCCCCGCTGAGTCTGGGTCACCTGCCTTGGTGACGTCTAGTCCCTAGGTCTGTAGGGAACCATCTGCTGAGGGTGGAGGCAGAGGCAGTGTTGACTGGCAGGCAGGTCCTCGCCCCGCCCACCTTGGGCACCAGCTCTGTGCTGGGGTGGGGGGGAGCAGCACGTGTCACTGGGTGCCCAGGTTCTGGGCGTGTGGGGCCGGGGGCGAGGAGAAGAGGGGAGCTGAGAGGTGCGCCTGTGTCTGCAGGTAGGGCCCAGGTGCCATTACAGGCTCATGTTCCTCGCAGGAGGAAGCTAAGGCCAAGGAGGAGGAAGGGGTCCCAGACGACGAGGGCTGGGTGAAGGTGACCCGCCGAGGCCGGCGGCCCGTGCTGCCCCGGACGGAGGCGGCCAGCCTGCGGGTGCTGGAGAGGGAGAAGAGGAAGCGCGCCCGCAAGGAGCTGCTCAACTTCTACGCCTGGCAGCACCGGCAGACCAAGATGGAGCGTAAGGGCGTGCCCCCGGCCGATCCCCCGGCCCCACGGCTCGCAGCCCCGGCGGCCCCGTGCGCCAGGCACAGAGTCTAGGGGCAGGTGCTGGGCTGGGGGCTGGGCCCCGGAGTCCTCAGGCCCAGATGTCCCCCACAGCCTTTGGGGTTGGGGTCTCAGCCTGCAGCACCAGAGTGGGGGTCCCCGGTTGCCCCCCAGAGGTTGCTCTGGGGGCCGGCCCCTGGGTTGCTTCGGTGCTGCGGAGGCAGCTGGGGTGTAGGCCCCACGCAGCCTGGACGCTGAGCAGTTAATGCTGGAGCCCGACCGCAGAGGGCGGGCCTTGGGTGTCTGCTGTGGGCACGGGGAGGGCCGCTGCTCTGCGTGCGTGCACGGACGGGTGCGCGGGTGTCTGTGGCAGGTGGCTGGTGTGGAGAGGGCCTCAGAGTGAGGGCCTGCAGGCTGAGCGAGGAGGGGGTCCCGCCCCTGGCCTGCCACCCGGTCCCACCGCCCTCCCCTGCCTCACTGCCCCTCCCCACACTGCGCACCCTCCTGCTGCGTCTCCGCTGCTGCCCTTGCCCCTCTGGATTCACCCAGCTGCGGCCCTCTGGGCCCAGAGACCCCTCACACCAGGTCACCCAGCGACCTGAGGGGCCCTGGGCGCTCTGGGCTGGGAGTCCCTTGACTCCTCCCGAGTACGACTGCTGCAGCAGGAAGGGGCTGGGGGAGGTGTCCCCGGGAGTCTCCTCCCGGCGCCCCAAGAGCCTGCTTCCTTTCCCTTTGGGGTTTGTAGGCGGGTGGTAGGAAGGCTGCAAGTGGCTTTTAGCTTTGTCTGTGCCTTTCTTTAGGTGGATTTTCTGCCTGAAAAGGCAGGCATGCCACCTTCTCCCCTTGAGCCTCTGCGCGCCAACTGGGCCCACAGCCAGCGGTTTCCTTCCCACATTTTGAGCGGGGGAGGCAGCGCTGAGTGCCCCGGCTGGGAGTGGGGGCCCGGGGGCGCGGCGGCGGGGCTGGTTACCCGCCCTGACTGTGTCCCCCGTTCCTCTCACGCTCCAGACCTGGCGCAGCTGCGCACGAAGTTCGAGGAGGACAAGCAGAGGATTGAACTGATGCGGGCCCAGCGCAAGTTCCGGCCCTACTGAGCCGGCTCAGGTGGGGGGGCGGTGAGTACGAGGGGGCCCAGAGCACCCCCCTGACTGCCCAGGCGGCGGGGCTGCCCCCCGAACAGGACTGAAGACCTGCACCCATGGGAGCCGGTTGGGTGCAGTGTCGCCGTTCGGTCCTCGTGCTTCAGTTGCCCTGGCCCCGTGTGGCAGGGACACCTGCCCAGCCTTAGGACTTGGCCCTGAGGAGCCTCCGCCCCAGGAGGGCTCCCTGCAGCTCCCGGTCTCTGGCCAGCCCACCCCTGCGTCCCTCTGTGGGAGCCGGGTGTCTGCTGTGTTCCCCCCTCTCCCCGGACGGAGAAGCCCCTGCAGTGACAGCCTCAGAAGTGGGAGAGGGAGACATCAGAACTGTTTATTTCCCGGCCCCCAGGCAGCGGGGCAGGCTGGGCCGGTCCGTCCCAGCCCCGCCGTCCTGCGGCCACCGCCAGCTCACCGCAGGTCATCGGCCCAACCCAGGGCGCCCCCGGAGTCCAGACACAGCGCCCCTTGTGACGTCACGCCCGTGGGAATGAGAAGCCTTGGCCCCACACCCCCTCTGCTGGCTTCACTGGTGTCGACCGTCGAGGCCCGTCCTTGTCGCGCCCGGCCTGGCCGGAGGCCCCTGGAGCTGGGTGTCATGTCGCCCCCAGCCCCGGCCTACTCCTGGGCTTGGGGACAGTCGCTCTCCAAGAAGGAGCTGATGACAGCGGCCACGAGGTCGGGTTGGTTTATGTGGACGTAGTGATTGCCCGGCACTTCCACGTACTGGAACTGCTGGAGGAGGGAGGGGCCGCGGTGAGGCCGGGCCCGGGGAGGCGCAGCGGGGCTCTCCCGTGCCCTGCCGCCCGCCCCGGCTCAGGAGTGTCCCCACGGTGAGCCGTGGGGCGCTGACTGAACGAGCAGGGCTCCCTGGGCCCCCGTCTAACGCCTAGCGCCCCATGGGGGTTTGGGCCCTGGCTCCGGGGCAGCGAGAAGGGCCGGATCCGGAGGGCAGTGCCCAAGCCTGGGGTCCGCGCCGCTCTGAGCGGTGAACCCAGAGAGCGGGGCCGTGGGGCTGCTGCGGGCCCTGAGGGCTCTGGGAGGTCCCCTCTGGAGCAGAAGGGCAGTTGTGCACACTCGTCCGTGCCCAGGAGAAGACCCACCGGACGGGAGGGCACCGCCCGCCGGCCCAGCCCGGGCTTCCCTCGCGCAGATGGTGCCTGCGGGGCCCAGGTGTGCAGGTGGCTGGTGATCACGGCATGCCGGCTACTCCCCGGGGATGAGGTCACCACACGCGTCCCGGCCCTGCCCCTTGGAGGCTCGCCCCGCCTGCAGCCAGCGCCCATGAGGGGACTGGTCGCCTGCCCCCCGTTTGGGGCCCTAGAGAATTGTGCGGTGTCTTCTGGCCAAGTAGGGCCTGGTGCAGCGGGTATGTGAGGACAGTCACAGGGCGCGTGCCCATGAACAACACCGCTCCTGGTTCACCTGTGACCTCAGCTCGGAGTGAGGCCCGGTACCTCCTGGGGCTGGGGACCCGATCTGTCAGACCTGGGCCCGGGCTGGGGGTCCCGGCGGGCCGGACACCTCCCCTGCATCCCAGCCGCCCCGAGCCCCGCGCCTACCTCTTTCAGGACTGATTTCAACGTCTTGAGCATGAAACCCATCGGCTCCTCTTTACGAACGTTCTCCTTTCTCACATCATTGCACCCTTGGCTTGCTCTGAGGAACAGGAAACCGGGGCTCGTCTCCGGCGCACTGACGGACAGCGCCCGCGGGCCCCTCCCCCCGGAGGCCTCCGGGTTCAGCCCCAGACTCGGCCCCTCGGCTCGCACCGCGCTCAGGCTTCCGGGGCTGGCCTGTGGCGCTGCCACCGAGTGTCAGTGCCCGGGAACGGCTGGAGCCCTTGTCTTTCCTTCATTGAAAGTATTTACTGAGAACCCCACCCGCTGCAAGTGTGTGATTCCGTGCTTCTGCAGTGTGTGCAGTTGTGCCGCCGCCACCACAGTCAATTCAGAACAATTTCATCACCCCAAACCCCAGACTCGTGTCACGTCTCCCACGCGGCTGCTTGGCTCACGAAGGCCCTGACAGACTGCCCACGGTGTCCCTGTGTGGGCTTGCGGGGGGATGAGCCCTGTGGCGCGTGGGCTTTGCTGCGGCTTCCCCAGAGCGCAGTGTGCGCGAAGCCCGTCTGTCGGGACGGGTCTGAGCTGCGTTCCTCTGCACGGCCGCCAGGTGGCGCAGTGCCGCGCGGACCGCACGTTGCTCGTTTGCCTGTGGGCAGACATGGGTGTCCGCCTTGTGGTGGTTGTGAGTGATGGGTCTGTGAGCTGTCGTGTGCAAGGTGTGTGCATGTGTGTTGGGTGTGCATACGGGAGGGGTAGTGCTGAGCCAAAGGGCGAATGGTGACCCTGGCTCCATAGACCGCCGGACTGTACCAAAGTGGCCGCCCCACGTTGCGACCCGGCAGCCCCGTGTAGGGTTCCGGCTCCTCCCCATCCTGGGGGCGGGCGCTATTGTCTCACTTTCAGAGTCCAGCCATGCTCGTGGGCGTGCCGTGGTCTGGGTTTGCCCACCAAGCCCGTGTTTTCTAAACCTGACTCGGCAGCAGAGACACTCATGTGCCCTTGGGAGTCCCGGACCCTGCCTTGGGCGCGGGTGGGCCAGGACACCGCCGTGGAGTGGGGGTGGCATCTGGGGCACGTGAGCGGTGCTCACTGCTCTGGGACCCTGCGTTGGTGGGATGGCCAGCGGCGGGGCGCTGGCCGGGAGGCAGCGGCAGGTGGAGGGCTTGGGCCTGGGAACGTGAGGGGCCCGCGGTGGCTAGAGGGGTGGGGTGCTCCCCGCGGTCGCCCGTTGAAAGGGCTGCACTCCTTGCCCGGCCTGTGCTGCCTGTGCCCTCCCATTGCTTTGCTTCGCCTCCACGCGCCAGCTGCCGGAGGCGTCCCAAGAAAGACAACACTGGTCTCGCGGTGGGAGGACTGGGGACCTCTCACTGAAGACCCCTGGCTCCCGCGGCTTGTCTCAGGGGCTGGGCTCAGACTTACCTGATGAACAGCAGGTGGGCCTGCAGTTTTTTGGTGAAAGGCACCACTTTATCTTTGCCGAGGAATTCAGTGTAAAACTCCGGCTGCAGAGGGAAAACCGTAGTGAATTCTCACCACCAGGCACTGCTGAGGGCGTGGAACCCGCCCCCCTGACGGGCCTCGGGGGGCCTGGCAGGGCCACGTCACCCGTCTACCTCTGACCCCCCATTCTTGCGAGGATCTACGGCATGGCTGTTGGGTGCTTAGGAGGGGAAGGGCCCAAACTGGGATGCGCCACCTTGGATCCACACTCTGGGTTTTGAAGACAGTGAGGAGAACAATGTCAGATTGTTAATGCTCTTTCACATGGGTGACGTGCTGAAATGGTGACATCTGCAGCTTGAGTCACGAACACCGAGCCCGGTGTCTCCTGCTCTGTGCTTACTGTCTGGCGTCTCTCCTGGGGGTGGGAGACGACCCGAGGCCCAGCCGTGCCTCCGTCGGGCTGTGCCACTCTGTCTGAGCTCTGCCGTGTCGGCAGCTCAGCCCCCTCCTGACAGCGGGGTCAGTGGCACTCGGCGCGTTACTTCAAGATCGACTCTCCCTGGCTGGCGGGCTCAGTGGATTGAGTTCCGGCCTGGGAACTGGAAGGTCGCCGGTTCAATTCCCAGGCTGGGCACGTGCCTGGGTTGGAGGCCAGGTCCCCAGTGGGGGGTGCAAAAGTGGCAACCACACATGGAATGTTTCTCTTCCTGTCTTTCTCCCTCCCTTCCCTCTGTCTATACAAATAAATAAAATACTAAAAAGAAAAAGAAAAAAAAACTGACGACCACATTGCCTCGTGGAGAGTGACCAGGCTCAGGTCAGAGGACCTGCCGGGAGCACTGCCCAGGCAGAGCATCTCCTTCTGGGCCCTCCAGACCCCACGGCTTAGGCCCAGCACCAAGCGCCCAGCCCCGGGCTCCGCACGTGCACGACAAACGGTGATGCGTGAGCGTGGTGGTTAGGAGAGCCGGCCGGCTGTGCATCCGGAAAAATCCACCTCACGCCCCCCCCCCTTTTTTTTTTTTTAATTTTTAAGAGTTTACTGGAGCCAAACTGATGGCATCTACTGGGGAGCAGGATCTCAAAGGCTCCCACCTCACGCCTTGTTGCGAACAAACCCCAGCTGGATGAAAAACCAGCTCAGACGTGCCCTCCCCTTGGCTGCTGCTCGGGTCCAGGCCTGCGGTCCAAGCCTAGGGCTGGGCAGCGGCCCTGGGTGGCCTCTCTGGGCCAGAGCTTCCCGCCTCTAGCGGCGGTGTCTCCTGCGTGCACAGCATTTCCCTGCCAAATGGTCGCAGTGAGAGCACAGCGAGCTCCGGAAGCGACAGCGCCGGGCCGGGCCACGCCAACACGGGCTGGCCCCTGCTCACTGCAGCCCCGCAGAGGCTGCCCGCTAACTACCAGCACGGAGGGACAGTGCCTGAATAAAGGGATGCACTTCCTTTTTGCACTGAAGGCAGCTGAGGCTCAGAGAGGGTAAGCGCCTCGCTCAGGGTCACACAGCCTCTCTGAGGGAGACGGCAGAGTTTCTGCACCTCCGGACCTCACTGGTGGCTGGATTTGAAGGCCTTTCGTTATCGAGCCCTTCTCCCATTTTAGTCTTGGCTACAGGAGTCCTTTCAACAGATGCAACGCACACCTGTGCAGCAGCAGCAAGTACTTGGAATGTCTTTCCTTTGCCCACCTGGACCCCCCCCCCCGCCCGGGCTGAGCACGGTACCCACCTGCTCCAAGAGACTCCTGACCAGGGCCCGGGCCACACAGCAGGAAGTGAGCTGGGGGCCAGTGAGCAAAGAGTCCCTCACGTCACCTCCTGAACTCAGGTGCCTGGTGCCAAAAGGGTTGGGGGCCGGTGCCACTGGCCACACCCGCCCCAGCTGCCAGCTGCCAGCTGCCTTCTGGGCGCCCATTGCCCTTGCACTCAGTCCGCTGAAGCATCTGCGGCTGTGTGCATAGAAACCAAAGCAAACCTGACCGAAAAGACGGCCCTAGGACGGGAGTCCCCGTCTCCACACAGACAGGTCTGCCTGCAGTGGGGCCGGGGGCGGGTCGGCCTCTGCGTGTTGCTCCCGGGCACCTGTGCACCGTGGTGGTTGTATTTCCGGCTGTTCCCTGAGTGTGGGGCCCTTGCTGGCTGTGCAGTTCCAGCCCAGTTCCCTTGTCTGTGAAGTGTGGGTGTGGCAGCAGTTCCTGCCTCCAGGGCCGCCGTGGGCACCGTGAACACACACGGCGGGGGGGGGGGGGGTGCGGGAACCGGGAGCACGGTCTGCGGTCTCCCGGAGGCAGAGCAAGCCCCACGCCTGCCAGCCCCGGCGGGGGCACAGCGCGACTTCAGGGGGCTGCCAGTTTGTGGAACCTCTCCTTCGCCCCCAGCTCGGGCCGCAGGAGACGGAGGACTCAGAAGGAACCACACGCCGTGTCACACCCAATACGGTGGCTGAGGTTGAACATGGGAAATCGCAAGTGTTACAAAACGCATGGGGAGGAACTGGACCTCGAGCACATTTTGGTGGGAAGGTAAAACGGTGCAGCCCCGGGGGAAGCCGCGGGTGGTTTCTCCAAGGGGTAAGCACGGGAGTGTCGCGGGATCTGGCAGTTCCGCCTCCAGGTCTGTGTCCAGATGCATCCACAGAGGGACTCGAGCCGACACTCGCACACCATGGCCACAGCGGCTGTATTTACAAGCGCCGGGAGGCGAGAACTACCAGCGTGTCCCCCCACCCTCGGGGGACGGGCACAGCCACGCAAGGGATGCCTGCTGGCCCGTGCTGCAACATGGACGGACTTGAACACATGATCTGCGTGAAGCGAGCCAGACACAGAGGCCACACCCCGCGTGACTCCACGTGCGAGGCCCCCATGCGGTCACGTCGGAGACAGCGGAAGGCTGCTTGCTGGGGCCCAGGGCCAGGGGTGGGCACTTAGGGTTTGCTGGCGTGGGAGTTTACCCTGGGGACAATGGGGACCTTTGGGGTGGTGGAGGTCGCATAAGTAACGCCCCTGAGTTGCACACTGAGGGCGCCGTGAGAATGGTGAGCACCGCGCTTCGCGTGTTTTACTGCGACAAGAGAGGGACAGGCGGGGCGGGGGGAGCAGGAGGCCGAGGCACTTACCAGAGTGAGCCTCTGGTCTCTGTTCAGCACCACACCTGGAAGAGAAGTCCCGACAGTGGCCTCAGTGTCCCCTGTCGTGGTGAGGGGACCCGGGGCCCTTCCAGGCAGCGCTCATTTCTTCTCTGTGCGCCTCCCCCGTGACGGGCAGGAACCGTGTTACTGAGACCGGCCTGCCGGCAGGGTCGTCCTCCAGGAGCCCGGCCCTCCACCAGACCTCAGGGCCAGCGGCCCCGCCTCAGTGTGGGGGAGGGCAGTCGGCGCTCAGCCCGTTTCTCAGTCAGTGTCTGAGCCCAGGGGCGGCCCAGCAGGCCCTGTCTCCTGGCATCTTGTAATTCCCTCTACTCCCACGTGGGAGCAGGTATCAGCACCCAGGGCAACAAGGAGGGAGGCCAGGCTGGCCCTGCGGGGGTGGGTGTTCCTGCACTAGCCCTGCTCCACAGCAAGGGTTTCAAAATCCCTGAAGAGTTGCATGAAACGTGCTTTTTAAAAAAATTTTAGAAGAGGTTTTATTGATTTATTTGTAGACAGAGAGGTTGGGAATGAGAGAGGGGGAGAAGCATCATTGTGTGGTCGCTTCTTGCAAGCCACCCACTAGGGACCCGGCTTGCAACGCTGGCATGTGCCCTCGACTGGGAATCGAACCGGCAACCTTTGGCTCTTAGGCCGTTGCTCAATCCTCTGAGTCACACCAGCCAGGGGGAAACGTGCATTTTAAAAATGCACGTTTTTCAATGTAGGAGATACTATCACAACCCTAGACTCCCCCTCTCCTGGCACAGCCAGTATTTAGAGACTGTGATATTTTGATGTAATCAGAGAGAAACATGGTAATCGGTCCTGTCTCCCTGCCAGAGCACCTACAAACTGTGTTAACTGTGTCAATGGTACAAGATCCGGGAGCGCTTTTATTCTAACACTTGGTCCTCCATCCCCGCCCCTGACACAGAGCCCCAGCCCTGCATGTCCTGGCGACGGGGTGGGGGTGGCCAGCAGGAAGGACACGCCGGGGCTCCGGGGAGTGGACAGGGACCGGAGAGTGAGCTCCTCACCCGTCTCAGTCATCACTCCAGCCTGCGTAGCCAACCCCCACACAACCCCCTGAGCCTAGGGGTTCGGAGAGCTTCTGGTTGGGAGCCAGGAGGAGGTGTTGGAAAGGCGGTGCCCACCGGGGGAGGGGGTGACCTCAGAAGCCCCATGCCCCTCCCCCACGCCTCGTTGCCCTTTGCATCTCTGCCGTCTGGCTAGCCCCGACATGCATCCTCTATCATAAACCCACAGCAGTAAAAATAAATGTTTCCCTGAGTTCTGTCAGCGACTCTAGGAAACTATTGAACCCGAAGAGTGGGTATGGGAACTCCAGTTTATAGCCACTTGGTCAGAGTGCATGGACACCTTGTGCCTTGCACCCCTCTCGGGCGGGGACACCGAGGGGGGGGGCGCGCCCTGCAGCCAGGCTGAGTTTGGAAATTGTTCTCTGACAAGTGCCGCCCCACCTCCCCACCCTCCAGCCAAAACCCTCCAAGTCCTTCCCTCTGCTTTTGGAAAAAACACCGCAGTCACCCCTCTACCAACAGGAGCTCACCGGGCCCTGCCCGGTGCCGCGGCAACCACCTTCCCTCCTGGGCAGCCGCTCTCCCCTCCCCCCGGGGCGGGCGGGCTGCAGGGCTGGACCCTGACACAGGGCCGTCCCTCGTCAGTCACCAGGGACCCCCAACCGGAGCTGGATTCTCCCTCCCTCACCCCCACCCCTCACGCCTGTTTCCAGAAGGCCTAGGCCAGTGCGGACACTGGTGCAGATGGGGGCGCAGACGAGGCCCTGCCTCTCCCCGCCCTGGACCGCTGCCGGCCGGTTTCCCCCGCCGCTGCGGCGCGATCTCGGCTGCGCGAAGCGCTCCACGCCCAGCGGGGAAAGGCGAGCCTGCAGCCTCCTCTCTGGGCAGCTCCCTCCGCCTGCACGACCTTCCTCCGGGGGTCTCCCCGGCCCGGCTCGCTCAGCAGCCCCGCCCGTCTGCGCCTGCGCCGCGCTCAACAAGCACCCTCTCCTGGGGGCCCGGCCGGCCCCTTCCCGCTGAGGATCAGGCCTGCAGCTCCGCCCACACCCTGAGCCTGCCCCCTGCCCTGCCCGGTGGCGTCCACGGGCTCCCGCTCCCCTCGTCCGTGTCCGTCCGTCCGGGTGCAGACTGGGGAGAGTGCGCACAAGCCAGGGGACGCCTGAGACCGGGAAAGAGGCGCCAACAGTCTGTCACAGCCCTGCCAGCACCGGCCCGTGGCGTTCCGGCCGCCAGCACTGGGAAGGGCTCGATCAAGTGCCCAAGTCTCCGAAACCTTGACCGGCAGCCCCAGGAGGCGAGCACGGGACTCTCGGGACTTGGGGTGGGAGGTGGCGATGGCGGCGTGCGTCCGAGTCCCCTGTCCTGCTCTGGACCGGTGGGGGCTCTGGGGGCCTCGGGAGGAGGGCTGGGGACAGCCCGGAGCAGCAGCTCCCCCAGCATTAACTCCCCCTCCCCCGTGTCCTGTGGCGTCGGGGAGCCTGCCCTTCTTGTAGGCTAACCTGGGGACCAATCACAGACACCCAGCCTACGGCCTGCTCCCCGCACCCCAACCCCCCACAACCCGTTCAGGCCCTGTGCTCCCCGTTGCACGTGACCCTGGCCTGGCCTAGCCTAATCGGCCTCCGAGTCTAATTCCGGATTAGCCCCCTTCTGTCTGCACCCGGGGCCCCTCCGGGCCGCCTGTCTGCCCGGGCCACGCCCTCCGGCCTGGACCTGCTCTTCCCCCCACAGCCTTGTGGGGGGGGGGCAGACAGGAGCTCGGGGATGACAGCACCATCCCGCAGTACAGGGGGCACAGCGGCAGGCAGCAGAGGCTCCCAGAGTCATAGGTATGGACTGGTCCGTTTGACCTCCCCGTGTGATGCCCTGTTCTGGCAAACAGCGCAACACAGCAGGTCTCTGGCTTCTCTTGAGCAAATAAATGCAAACCCTGGCCATTCTACACCCCAGTTCCCCCGAGTTAACCCTTGGCTGGGCCAGGGCCACAGGCCCCGCCACTGCCCTCTGCCTCGCCCAGCAGCTTTGAGGGGGGGCGGGGCGCTGCCTGCTCGGCGCCCCCCCCTCTGTGAACTCTGTGAACTGAGGTCAAGGCAGCCCCGCCGGGGCAGCACTGCACACTCTTGGGAGCGAGGTTTCCTGATCGGGTGTCAGAAGCAAAGCCCCAAAGCACGGGCTGACACGGCCCTGAAGCCAGGGCGCCGCCAGCTCCTCCTCTCCTTTCAGAACAACCTCTTCAGTGCCACTTGGTCCCTTAGGACAACCCCAACCCCAGCCTCGACACAGGGCACCGACCCCCAGCGACTAGCACGGCATGGGTACGACACTCCCCAACACTGAGTCCCAGGAAGCCCGAGCAAGTGCCCACAGGACGAGGCGTCCTGGGACGACGGGCAGTGCGACGAAGTCGCTGGCCCCCCTGAGGAGCCCTGGCTCCCGGCGCTGGGTGGGCTGAGCAGAGGCAGGAGCGGGATCGAGGGAGAGACGGCGGGCAGGGCACTTGGTGTCATGCCCGGACCAAGACGAGCCTCGTCACGGTCGGTCCTCGCCGAGAACAGTGCCAAGAGGCGGGCCCCTGAACGGTGAGCCCCTTACCTGTGGCCACCGGCGAGGTGCCTCTCTGCAGGATGATTTTTGCTGACTCCTCCGACACGTGGGTGTTCGCCTGCAGGAGCCTGGCGGGGAGAGGAGGGGGCTGAAGGCCTGGGGTCCAGTGGGGCCGGGTGGGAAGGAGAGGATGGTGAGGGGAGGGAGGTCCTCCCACAAAGAGTCGGGCACCTGTGGGGCAGACGGTCACGTCCATGGGGTGGGGGGGTGTCTTCACTGTTTTACACAGCAGTGTTTATAAAGCCCTGACAGCTAGGGGCTGCCAGGGACTGGAGGCACAGAGGCGACCAGCCAGCCCGCTCACCTCCCGCAGACCTGAGATTCCCTACAGGGCAGGGGAGGGGCCTCAGGGCCGGCTTCCAGGGGCAGTGCCAGCCTCGGGCTGGGGGCCCGCTGGGGACCGAGGCTGGGGACCGGGGCTGGAGAGGGAAGTGAGTGCGGTGCCAGACAGAGGCGCAGGCGGAGGCGGCAAGGGAAGCGGAGGTGTGGGGGGAGAGGAGGCAGAAGGGGAGCCGGAGGTGGTCGCGGTGGGTGTGGGGACCTGGGAAGCGCATCGCCGCATAGTGGGGACAAGGCGAGGCGGATACATTCGCAACAGTGCCAGGGTGGGCACAGAGAGAAACAGGCTCCCTGTGGATTTGAGACCGAAGCTTCCCTGCTGCACCTCCAACCCCGCCCCCAGGCACCCACTTCTGCAGTATCTCCTCCTGGCTGTACACGCGTGGGGGCTTCCCGGAGGCCTCCTCCTGCTGCAGCGTGATCTCGATCCGTTTCCGCCTGTAGTCCAGCAGGTTCTCCAGCTCCTAAGTGAGTATCGGTGGTTCTGCTGGGTGGGTGGGGCTCCCGCCTGCAGGCAGAGGGGCCCAGCCCCTGCCTCCCGCTGCCCCCAGGTCCCGACCGCTGCCCTCGGCAGCCCCTAGCCATTCATTCAGACCCAGGGAGGTTTTGGAGGTGATCAGCCCTGCTGTCAGTACTGACCCAGAGCAAGTTGTCCCCTTCAGTCCCAGCCAGCCCAGCCCAGCCCAGCCCAGCTCAGCCCTGCCTGTCCTGGAGGACAGCTGGAGGGTCTGGTTGAAGGAGGAGAAAGGAACTCTCGGTCCACAGTCAAGTGCTTGCAAAGGCGCGATACTAGGGTTCTCCAGTGAGGAACCACCCAGGGTTCGCAATTTCATCTGGTTTAAGTAATGCTGTCACTCCAAATGGCAACGAGGAGACTGGCAGAGGGGGTGCCCTCCAGGGGAGTCCAGCTTGCCCCCACGTGTGCCCCTTTCCGGCCCAGCTCGCTCCGGGATGACCTGGCCCTGCCCACGGTCCACAGTGGGACAGCACAGCACACGGACAGGACCGAACACACTCCATACACGCCCAGGAGGGCAGCGAGACACCAGGGGCACCATGCTGGTCAGCTCAGTGGTGGAACAGGTCAGAATGCCAGAGAGGCAGCAGCCACACAGCTCACGGGACCCTGACAATGACCCACGGATTATCTGACTGTGTGCCCAACATTTATGGAGCACCTACTGTGTGCGAGGATCGGGCAAGTGGCGATAGAAAGGACAGCCATGCTGCTGGCCCTTCGGAGCTTGTGGTCGATTAACCCACAAGGACACCGAACCTGGTGGCGGAGCTGGGCCTCCGCCGGAACGGCCGAGCCCTCAGGAGCAGACCCACGGCGTGGCAGGGTGGCAGGGCCCCGCCCACGTCATCGAGTCCAGCCTCCTCACTTTCTAGGTGAAAAACTGCAGCCCAGGGAGGTGGAGTGAGTGACTTGGCCAGCGTCACACAGCAGGGACTCAGGTGCAGGGACAGCACTGGTCATTGTCACTGGCGGCGGTGGCAGGTTCCCCAACAGCCTGCACTCAGCAGGGCTGTGCGCGGCTGCAGGACGCGATCGCAGCACGCAGGAGTTGAGCCGAGCGGGCACAGAGGCAGGCCGGCCTCCCTTCTCCTCCCGAGAGCTCCCTCGGCCGACCACACCTACCCCGTCCCACCTGGCACTCTGTGACCGCCCGCACTCTGCAGGTCGCAGGCCGCACAGAGCGTTTCCAAGGAAACAGAGGCCCCCGAGCCCCTGTCCCTGCACATCTGAGCTAGCGGTGCGCACCGAAAACTCTCTTCTCGGTGCGTGGGCGGGCGGCTCACTCCCCTCATTTACCACGCCCCCTCCCCGCCTCCTCCCGCCTCCCCGGCACCCGCCGAAGGAAACAGTCCCCAGGCTCTGCCTGGGACCTGGGCCGCCCCCGGTGGCAGCCCCCAAGCTTACGTTAGTGTCCAGGGCAGCAAGGCTTGATTCCAAAAGGACAAGCTTATCCACCATCTCGGGGAAGGTGCAGGAGAACTGCGGCGGGACAGAGAGGGGGCAGAATGAAGAGGGGCGGGGCTGGGAGCAGAGGGGCTCAGACGGCTCTGGAGGTGCCCCGATCATCCACCAGGTCGGGACCGGGGCGCTGCCCAAGAGGCCGGAGCCAGCATGTTCTGTCCCGTCAGGGCGCCTTCCCCGCCTCCGCCCTAGTGCGCACCCCGCGCCAGGCTCCACACCCCGGCAGCGGCTGGAGGGAGTCGGGGTCTCCTTTGCACAGTGGTCGCTGCTGCAGGCCACCAGCGGGCGGCCGCCAGGTCCCAAACGCACCCACAAGGAGCTCCTGGCTGCAGGAGGCGCTTCCTGCCCCCGGGAACCCCTGCCCACTCCGGACCGCCCCACCCCACTTTGAGGAGCAGCAGCGGGGGCCAGAGGTGATCTCCGCAGAGCCGTCTACTTACCATCCCACCTATGATGCCACCTAGGAGACAAAACAGCAGTGGACGGAATCCCCCCGCCAGCAGCCCGGGTCCCACCAGCACACCCTCCGGGGGGCTGACCACCACCGCTGGAGGCCGGGCTCCCCTCTCCCGCCCTGGGTGGTGCTCTGCACTTCCTGTCCGGCTCGGGAACAGCCCCCTCGGGAAGCTGTCTTTCTCTTCTCAAACGGGGAGTCCGCTACCTACGGGGCCACACGTGCCTCCGGGTCTTGCCCGAGGCCCAGGGCCACAGTGTCCAGAGGTCTGTGTGGAACAAGCACCCTCATCTCTCCTTAAAGTTCCTAGGAGTGCAGGGGAAGGAGCCTTTGTACCCCCTTCTCGCCCGCCCTTGCTGCCTCCCTGTTGGCACCGTCCTGGACGAAGTGTACTCACCGAAACTGTGGCCCATGATAGAACAACGATTCCACTTCAAGGCTGAAAGCACACAGAGCCAGGTCCGGGTGGGCCCAGCCTTCCCCACCCTCTGTCTTGCAGTCCCTGGGCTTGGGAAATTCCTCCCCAGCCTCTGGGACGCCGCGCTGAGGACAGCAGGTCAGCGGGGGGCCCCCGTCCCACTGCAGGGGGGGACGCCACAAGAGGAAAGGAGCTCTCTTCTTGACTGCCCTCTCCAGCTTGCCCGGGGTCACCCAGGGGTCCCTGGCAGAAGTGCTACCAACCCAGGGCCACGGCCAGGCCGCCGTGGCACATGACTACCGCTCCGCACCCCACTCCACCAGTGGAAGGGGATTCCCTCCCACCCAACACATACACTGCCCGCTCCTCACCTGCCATGGCCCTTCGGATCTCACTCATAAAGCCTTCAACATGGTACTGCACACCTGGTCTGTAGTGGGATGACAGCCCGTGGCCCCCGAAATCCATGGCAACGTAATAAAAGTCTGCGACAGAGGCCAGAGGGGGTGCCTGAGTCAGCCGGTTCTCCCTGGACCGCCCCCGCCGCCCGGCGCCCTGGCGGCCCGCAGCCCCAGCCCCAGCCCCACCTTTCGGGAGAAGAGGGATGAGTCTGTCGAAGGAGTTGGCGTTGTCCAGCCAGCCGTGCAGGCAGAGCACCCGGCGGCTGCCGGGGGAGCCCCAGGCTTTGGCGGCAATGTGGCCCCAGGGCACGGCCAGCCTCAGCTCCGAGATCAGACCTGGAAGACAGAGCAGGCGCCTCGGTCTGGAGGCCCGGGCCCGCCAGGCCCGCAGCTAGGGCCCCTGTGCTCAGGGCAGGGCAGTGCCCAGGCCCCGGCGCCGCCCCCAGGGGGTGAGGGAGAGGGCCAGACCTGGTGTGGGAACCCCGGCAGGAGGGAAAGATAGGCCGAGGGAGGAAAACCGTGGGAGGGTTCACCCCAGAACATTCTAGACTATCGGATGTGTGGGCTCAGCCTGGGCTCTGACGCTCGCTGGGCGTGTGCCCTTTGGCACAGTTACTATAACCCCCTTGGATTTCCTAATCTGCAACACCGGAGTGAGCAGGGTCTAAGAGTCGCCCACATGTTCTTAGGCTTCACGGATGGCGGGGCGGCCCGTCTCCCGCATCTTCACGCTGAGTTGGGTCACTGCACCCCCTGCAGACCAGGACACTGAGGCGTTTGGAGGGGCAGTACCGGCCGGAGGCCCAGCGAGGAGCGCGTGGGCTGGAGCAAGGACTCGGTGCAAGCCAAGCCGCACGACTGCGGGGTCCCAGCCCTGACCGCGGGGGACCTCAGTGTCTGCCACGCCGGTCAGGGCCCTGTCACCACCGCCCACTGCTGGCCTTTCCACCCGGCAGGCGCGCCCCGCGGGGCTGGAGACCGGCACCCCCTAAATGGTCCCGCGCCTCCTTTTCTAACTGGACCTCGCAGGACCCTGAGGGACCACCTGTGGCTGGATCCTCCCACCGACCCTCCCCCGCTCCTGTCGGGCTCCTCCTGGTCCCAAGCTGCCCGGGAAGTAGACGCGACACCCAGGAGGGCCGCGTGGACAGCGGCCCTCCCTCCCTCAGCCGTCTGGCTCTACGACCCCAAGGAGGCCAGGAGGCGGGGGTCTCCCCCATCCCACTCCGGTCCCAGGGGCCCTGGACAAGGCGTCTTCACCCATAGCGCTCATCCTTTGGTCGCACGGAGGCTGACAGTATACGCCGCGATGTCCCGCCGAAGAGCAATGAAGCGGGAGAGCTGGGGTGACCCGACAGCCCGGACCTCTAGGCCCCGCCCCCACGGCGGTCCCCGCCCCCGCCCCCGGCCACGCCCCCACGGAGACCCTGCCCCATGGGCGTGCTCCCGAACCGCCCTCCCCTTCACCCAGGCTGGGCCCGCAGAGGTCGGGGCGGGGGCGGGGGCGGGGGCGGGGGCCCACCCTCTCCTCTCCGTTGGAGAGCCCTGCGCCCCCGGGGATGCCGCCTGCGTCGGAAATGCCCCTGCGCCCGCCGCTGTGAGCACAGCGGCTGGGAAGTCCGCGGTCCGAGTCCAAAGCACCTCGCAGATTCTGGGCTACATCCAGGCGGTGTCGCCGGGAGTGGAGGGGCCTCTGCTGGACACGCGGGTGGTGGGACCCCGACTCCCGGGCTTGTCCGTGGCCGCGCCCCCAACCCCGTGGGGCCCTGTGAGCTGACAGCTCGGGCACCAGCCACGGGGAGCCCGGTTCGCCCTGGGCCCTCAGGGGCCTGAGCCTCAGGGTTAAAGGTGGGGTGATAGTGTTTAATGTCCCCCCGGGCGTCGTCCACCGTGCCCTCGCCGTGTCCTCGGGGAACCCCGGCAAGAGCCAACTTTAACATCTGCTGTACGCTGGAGAACTTACCTTGCTGGCCTCGGCCCGGCTGAGGGAGGCTTGCGTCCAGGGTCCTGAAGGGGGTGTGAGGGGCAGTGAGCCCGACTGAGGGCGCTCAGGCGCGTCCTCCCAGGCTCTGAACGCGGCCCCGGGGGCGGCGGGGGCCCGAAAGGAGGAAAAGCGCTTCCTGTTCTTTCACGTCCATTTGCTGGGTGGGGTGTCTGGGAGAGAACCCAGGAGCCCCTGGGGGTCGGAGTGCAGCAGAGCCCCTAGCCGGTGAACCCGAATGCAGCGGGCTGAGGGGCTGGGCTGAGAGCTGTACAGTGAATCCTCCCTGGGGGGGGGGGGGCGGCCGCAGAGCCAGGTCCTGAGGACGGGGGGCTGGGGGGCTGCCCCGGGGGAGCCAGTGTGGGGAAGGGGCCGAGTGTGGGGCCAAGGAGTTCAGACCTTATCCGAGCAGAGGGACTGGGGAGGCTGGGGACGGCGGGTGACGAGGCCATTTCTCCAAGGGGTGCGCGCACAGTAGCGTCCGTTCGTTCCAGAAAGGGTTCCGGATTCCTCTGAGAGTTATGAAGGGTGTCGCAGACCCTGGTGTGACCCAGCCACGGGGACATCGCTCCTGTGAAAAGGCTCTTCCTTCTCCTGCTCTGGGCGCACCTGCTGTCACACCCGCATGGGTCACGCCACACTTACACCTGGCCGCCGGCTGCAGCCTGGCCTCCGCGTGGGGGCCTGTGGGGGCCTGCTGCCCACCCTCACCTCACGTGCTGCTGGTCCCTCGCGAGACAGGAGCTGGGCCGGAGCAAGGTGGTGGTGTGTGGCTTCTGGACTGCGTGCAGGAGCCGTGTCACAGCGTGAGTCAGGGAGATTTTAGGGTGTGTCCTTGAAAGCCGGAGACAGGCAAGCAGGAAGGGCTCGGCAGCAGGACAGCCCGGCAGGGTGCCGCGGGTCACCGAAGGGCAGAGACGGGGGGGGGGGGGGGGCGGGAGGGGCTTCGGGGCCAGTCCCAGGGGTCAGCCCAGCAACAGCTGCCGCTGCCCGTGGCTCTGCTGGTTGTACTGTAAGGGATAGGATATTTACATAACTTCCCATAACCTGCCCACAGTCTGTCTATTTACGACAAAAAGGAAAGTAGTAACTTTACGGTGGAGAAACTTGGAGGACGTGTCTTGGGCTTGGTGATCCAGGTTCACGTCACTAACATGGGGACAAGCTATCACCGCCTGCCCCCCGATGGGATCAAGGAGGACAACGCTGTGTCGCTTCTGCGACATTCCTGCCACCTGTGCACAACCTGAATCTAACGGAGTGTCAGACAATCCCAGCTGAGGGACACTCTACAAAATGAGTGGCCCAGGCTCTTCACAATGTCAGACTCGAGAGGACAGGACCGAGACGACCGAGCCGGCTGAGGGACGACCAAAGACACGGGACGACCGAAATGTGGCGGGTGATCCCGCACGGACTCCCGGCCACGAGAAACCCTTCCCCGCGGCCAGGCAGGGCCGAGTGTGTGGCCGCGGAATGAGGTCTGTGGGCCGGCCGGGCGGCAGTGTTCTATCCGTGTGAATTTCCTGACTCGGACGCCTTGGCGCTGTGGGTCTGTAAGGGAATACGTGTCCCGATTTAAATTTCTTTTTCACGTACTGTTGTCATTTTGTAACCGTGGGAAACTGTAAGAGTGGGGCCTTGTAACCCGCCCCACCATTCTGCTGACATTGTTGCTGTCAGTGCTGGCTCTGACTAATAGGAAGCTCGTAGGTGAACAGTTGAACGGTATGTTTGTATGAGAATCCTAGGGATTAGTTTCTGGAGACACAGACTCCAGCCTTCAAGCATCCCAGTTCCCAGGGATTTGCTGACCTTCAGCCATGGAGCCGGGACGACTAAACCAGGACGACCCGTTCCGGACCGTCACCTGCCTTCTGAGGATGGACTTTGTCGTCTGCACGTGGAGAACTTTCCAGCGCCCTCCCTGGATCTCCTTGTTCTGTTCCCCTCTCCCTCCTTATAAAAACCCCTGCCTGCCCCGGGAGAGGGCGACGGGCTTTGACGTGAGCGCCCCGTCTTCCGGACGGCCGGCCCCTGAAAATAAACCACTTTCCTCTGCCTCAGCCCTGCCTCTTCAGTACTGGCCTTTCACAGTGGCAGGCGGCCGGCCCCGCGTTCGGTTACAATTCTACATTATAGGATTAGCTCAGGTGTCCAGCATAGTGGTCAGACATTTATAAAACGGACAAAGTGACCCCCTCCCCGATATTCCCATTATGGACTATAATCCTGAAGCTGCACTTCACATCCCGGCAACTACTCTGTAACTGCTAGTCTATACCTCTCAATCCCCTCACCTCTCCCACCCGCCCCCCCCTCCCCCTCCCCTCTGGCTACCATCCATTTGTTCTCTGCATCTACGAGTGAGACTGTCCTTGATTTTAAGCAACACACACTGAAGTATTTGGAGATTAAGACAAAAAAAAAAAAAAAAGCACTGGGCAGACCCTCCGGTTTGGCGCAGACCCAGGAGCACCGGGGCCGAGCCGGGGAGACGGGGCGCATCCGGGCTGCCTGAGCAGCGACCGGCCATGGCCCGGCTGGGTGTGACGGAGGGGCTGGTGAGCCGGGGGTCTCAGCAGCCCGAGGGTCCGGAGGAGGACTTGAATGCCGGAGAGCGGCTGATGGACAGAAGGGCTGGGTGCCTGTGGCGTGCTTGGTCCTGGTGCCAGTGGCTTCAGAGTGAGGGGCGTACACCGTAGGGTGGTCTCAGTCTCTCGGGGGCTGTTAATAACCCGTTAGAAACACCCAGGTTCTGGGTTGGTAACGGTCTCTGGCGCTCTGCCACGCAGGGTCACAAGAGTACTCCGTGTTCCTCGGGCCTCGGAGTGCAGTGGTTGCCAGCCTGCCCTGTCCAGTGGCCTAAGCGCCCTCTGCCAGGCCGGCTGTCCTCTCCTGCCCTCTCTCCTAGGCCCGGGGCAGCGTCTGGCCTGTCCCCCCGAGAGCCCTGATGTGACCGAGGCAGTGGACGGAGCTGACCCCGCTCTGTATTTCTTCTCAGCAAACAAACCCCCTTCGGGCGGGGGCGGGGGGCTAAGTAGCCTAGCCCTCTCTGGAAATACCCACAGCATCTTTGAGTTCTTCTGTCCAGGGACCCTGGGTTTCCGACTCATTTCAATCAGACCTTGAAAGTTACAAAACGGAGTTCACCCACAGCAACAGCTCTTGACTCAACGAAAGCAGCTCTCCTGCCAAACTGGCCCTTCCTTCGAGGGGCAGTCTCACTGCACCCACCCACTGGTCACTGTTGCCGGGGAGGGCTGCAGGGACCGGAGAGTATCAGTCTCCAGCTTTGATAGTTGAAGCCAGGCTCTTTCAAAGTGACACAATTTACAACCCTGACACATTTTCTTCCAATCATGTTTTCTGACAAGGTCCGATCGTGATAAGAGGGAATTCAAGGAATCCATCCTCCTGGCAGAGAGCATGGCATACAAAGGGGGGCGGTAATTTTCCTGGGGATTGCTCTTAATAATTTTCTTGCTGATATTAATCATGGTCTTACTTTGGACCCTGATTCCCGTAAGAACAGGCCATGAGAAGAAAGAGGCTCGAAAAGAGTCAATGATTAACTTTGAGGGAAATTCTGAAGGGACTAGTTCTCCCCAGACTATTGAATCATGCCCAGGTTGTTTTAAATAAGGAGTTTATAAACCTGAGTAAAAAATTATCCCCGATTGTTCCCATAAAAGAATTCACGAATCAGTTACAACAGGCTAAATTATTGGCAGATTTTCCCACGCCTGTTCCTTACCCGTAGATACAAAGAGTTTTTCAAGAAAACAAGAAAAATTTATATAGACCCCTACCCACAGCCCAGGGATACCCCTGGGTAGCATATTGGATTAATGGCAAATTATGGTATCCCCCAAGAGGAGCTAATAGTCTCCAGAGGGTTCCAGTGCCTTGTACAGGAGCATATAATGAGAGTGGCATTAGAATGGTCAATAAGGATGGAGCCCAAGTGCCTTATAATAGTCTAAATGTTATGGAAAGGCTAGCTCGAAGCAGACCTCCCTGGTGTTTATTAACTAAGGAACAAAAAAGGTTTACTGTGGCTGGATTTCCTGTTTATCTCTCCTTACATGTTTGTTTTGGTGATCATAAAGTGGCGGGATAGTTAGACACCTGTATTTCAGGTTTATTGATTCACATAATTCCAATGAAGTTGTACAAAATAATTTCTTGACCAGAGAACAAAATCCCCTCTAATGAAATAGCCCCTGAATGTCTAAAAGTTGTTGGAGTAACAGCCCTGCCTTTACCTTGAATAGGAATATATATCAAGTAGAATTAGACAGGCAAAGAAATAAGAAAAGCTGGTTAGCTGTTACAAACTAAGCACATAGAAACAGATACCAGGGAGTCAGAGTCCACGGTGCATAGAGAAACATTTTAGACAGAAAAGGTAAATAGCTAAGTTAGACATCACAAAGGCCTTATAATAAATTTCCTATTACCTCTACTCAATCTAGTGTATCCTTTTGCCCCATGACAAATTCTGAGAACTTTAATGAACAATAAGACATTCAAACTCTGTACATACAGCTATTTCTAATTGTGTGATTTATGGCTCTCCTGGTCAAAACAATCTTTGTTTAATATAACTGAATCTATGGAAACTTTCGTATTTTTCCTGGTTACCTTTGTATTGATTTTTTTCTGCTTCGCCAAAGCGTAAATGTTAATCACTGCCAAAAATGAAGATGTAAAAACCTGCTTGTACTTGCAATAAACAGAACAGAGTATCACCGTCCTCTTCATCTTCCTGGAGGCGTGTTCTCATCCGTCTTTCATCACCGACGCCTTACCCGCCTTTCGGGAACCCCTGGACCCCGCTGCGGCCGGACTGCGGCACAACCTCTACCAGCAGTTTTTTTTTTTTTTTAAATATTTTATTTATTTATTTCAGAGGTAGGGGAAGGGAGGGGAAAAGAGGAGAGAAACAGCAATGTGTGGTTGCCCCTCACAAGACCCCTACTGGGGACCTGGCCCGCAACAACCCAGGCATGTGCCCTGACTGGGGACCGAATCGGCGACCCTTTGCTCTGCAGGCTGGCACTCAGTCCAGCGAGCCGCACCAGCCAGGGCCCCACCAGTGGTTTCAGCTGCCCCGCATCCTGACCCACACTTTGCAATACGGTGGGTATGTAATGGTATCAACCAGTCTCTAGTTCAGTAAACAAAAAGGAACCTTAGCTACTATTTCAACAGAAGGAATACGATGAGAAAAATTGTTTACAAAAAATGTTGGCATGGAAGGAAGAGTAGACTAAGCAAGATTGCAAGATGAATAATTGCAAGAGTGACTCCCAGCTCCGAGGACTGGAGTGACAAAAGGGGGCTTTGGGGAGCGGCCTGGGGCGCACCTGATGGTCTGGGGAGCACAGATGGGGCTCCTCCCAGCGCTGCTGCCACAATTCGAGATGCACATCCACCATTGCTGGTCCGTTCGCTCTAGCGTCTGAGAGCACCTGCCTGCGGTCTCCGACTCAGTGAAGTGCACCCTCAGCCTCCTCACCCTTTCTTCCCTCGTCCCTGCCCTCACCATCCTCATCGGGCAGCACCCCAGTTCCCACCCTCTCGCCCGCTCGGACTCCCTGGGGGCCAGCCTGACGCCTCCTCTTCCTAGCTGCTCCCCACTCCTCAGCCGGCCCAGACCCTGCCAGTTCTACCCCCTGCATCTCTCTAACCCGCGCCCCCTCTCCCGCCCGTCGTCACGGCCCACCTCGCGGCAGGGGCACCTGCCCTGTCCCAGCGT